TCTATTTTTGATTTCTTGAAGAATCTCCATGCTGTTTTCCACAGAGGCTGCACCGATTTCCATCCCCACCAACAGTGCGTGGGGGTTCCCTGCTCTTCACGTCCTCTTCAACACTTACTTCCTGTCTTTTCCATAACAGCCCCTCTCATAGGTGTGAGGTCGGATCTCGCTTTGGCTTTTTGATTTTCACTTCCCTGATGATTAGCCACGTTGAGCACCTTTGGATGTGCCTGTTGGCCATCTGTGCGTCTTCTTGGGGAAAATGTCTATTTAGATCCTTTTCCCATTTAAATTTTTGTTGTTGTTGTTATTCAGTTGTTTGAGTTCTTTTCTAAAAAAAATAATTATGTAATAAATATTTTTAAAGACTTTATTATTGATTGATTTATTTTTTATTTATTTAGAGGGGAAGGGAGGGAGAATGAGAAGGAGAGAAGCGTTGTTGGACTCTCACAGGCCCCCAACTGGGGATGTGGCCTGTAACCCAGGCATGTGCCCTTGACCAGGAATCGAACCGGTGCCCTTTTGATTCACAGGGTGGTGCCCAGTCCATTGAGCCACACCAGCCAGGGCCTGAGTTCTTCATCTATTTTGGACATTATCCCCTTATCAGATACATGATTTGCAAATACTTTCTCCCACTCAGCAGGTTACCTGTTTATTTTTTTGATGATTTCCTTTGCTTTGCAGAAGGTTTTAGTTTGATGTAGTCTCACTTTCTTAACTTGCTTTTGTTGTCTTTGCTTTTAGAGTCAGATCCAAAAAAATCATTCCTGAGACTATGGTAAGGCGCTTGCTGCCTATGTTTTCTTCTGGGAACTGTATGATTTCAGGTCTTACATTCGAATGTTTTATTCATTTCGAGTTAATTTTTGTGTATGGCGTAAGGTAGTGGTCCCATTTCATTCTTTTGCTTGCATCTGTCCAGTTTTCCCGCCACCATTTATTGAAGAGACTGTCCTTTCCCCATTGGCTCCTTTGTTATAAATTAATTGACCATATATGTGTGGTTTATTTTTGGGCTCTCTGTTCTGTTCTGTTTTTATGCCAATGATATACTGTTGGATTACTATAGTTTTGTAGTATAGTTTGAAATCAGAGAGTATGATAACCTTTGACTTTGCTCTTCCTTCTCAAGATTGTTTTGGCTATTCAGGGTCTTTTGTGGGTCCATACAAATTTTAGAATGATCTGGTTCTATGAAGAATGCCATTGAAATATTGATAGAGGTTGCTTTGGGTAGTACAAACATTATTTACAGTAGCCCAGATATGGAAACAACCTAAGTGTCCGTTGATAGATGAATGGATAAAGAAGATGTGGTGTATACATATGTATACATTGGACTGTTACTCAGCCAAAGAAAAGAAAGAAATCTCGTCATTTGCAACAAGGCGGATAGACCTTGAGGGTATTATGCCAAGTGAAATAAGTCAGACAAATTGACAAATACCCCATATGATTTCGCTGACATGTGTAATCTAAAACCAAAATACAGGAGCAAACAAAGCAACAAACCTCATAGATACCGAGAGCAGACTGGTGATTATCCGAGGGGAAGGGGGTCAGGAGGGGGTGAGATGGGGGAAGGGGGTCAATTGTGTGGTGATGGATGGCAACGCCTTCTTGTGGCAATCGCTGCACTGATACAGAGATTGAATTACTATGTTGTAGGTCTCAAACTAACATGATGTTGTATACCAATTTTGCCTTAGCTGAAAAAAAAAGAGTGCCTAAACAGACACGCTGTTTTGATTCACCGGTGTACTTACCTTGTCAGGGATAATTATTTGTCTGTAGAAGCGAGTTTTCCTTAGATTATTGTAGTCATTCTGTTCTACCTTTAGCAAAGAACAGCATTCCTAAGCTTTGTTATCCTTTACCTTTATGATTGTATATTACGTGGTGATAAAGTAGAACCTTATTTACTATTTCTCCTAGAATTTCTATATAAATTTTCAGCTACCTGCAATCCTTTGTAGAACAAGGTAAATATTGACAGTCATCTATGAGACAAAAGATCTTCTATCAACAACTCGTATCCGACCGTGTTTATAATCAGACCGTGAGGAGGAGGCTGCTTTCCTGCCCGGCTGCTGCTCCCCCTGCGCGGCATTAGTGGCGGCCTCAGTCCGGCCTTCTGCACAGCAGAGCCGCTTTCCCTGGTCGCCTGTCCTTGGCTTTCAAGTGATTGCACTTAGGCCCTAGCTCATCCTGGGGAAAGAAGTTGCCTACAGGGGGATTAGAGGAGGACTGAAAAGTAAGATAATGGGGCAGGAGAAGATTTTCTGGGATAAAGGGCTGCTAAGGGCTCTGACAATAAGGGGGAGGGAAGACTTGGAAAGAGAGGGAACCAGGTTTTCCTGGAGTTGAGTATTAGCTTAGCTGACCTCGATTTATAAAGAGTGTGCAACTTGACGCTTTAATATTTATACTGTGTTATGTAGATGCTGCCCCTCCAAGGACTCTCTTAAATCCTCTTAGCTTATAAATGACAGCTTTGATTTCTTTAAAAAAAAATCTTCCATTTGTCCAGCCTAAGAGTAGTAAACAATAAATGCTTAGTACCCTCTTTTCGTGCCAGCCCCCAAAGATTGAGACTTGCATTCTGAAGAGTTGGTTGCTATGCTTTTGAGCTCCTTAAGGTCACGTGCAACTGAATGGGTGGGGCACGCTGACGCTGCATCACTGGAGCCCAGGCAGCTCCTGGAAGTCTGCCTGACACGTCCTCTCAGCGGTGCCCAGTAGGTAGGACGAAAATACGGTCTTGCAGAGACTACATGCGTGGCCCATGTGGAGTGATTAGTGCTGCTTCTTCTAGTGATCAAGAGAGTTAGGGAATCAGACTCCTGCCAAAGTGAGTTTGGATTAAATTTCTGCTGAAGGGCCCTAAGATCGCAGGAATGAAACAGGTGGGAGCTAATGAAACTACCTGTTAGGTGCTGTGAGTCATCTCCCCCATAGCTACTTGGTGACATCAGTTACTTTATGTCTTTATTAAGAATGTCCCCACTCTCTGCAGAACCCACGCAGAGAAGAGGGAAGAATTAAAAATTAAGCTTGACTCTGGCCAGTGTGAATCACTGGGTCCTCGGGGGATGTCATTTACTCAAGAAACGTTTATTAAGTGCGGCCTCTGTGCTAGACCCGTACACTGCACCGGAGTAATAAAGAAAAGGACGCCGTGCGTGTCCCAGAGCAGGACTGAGAGTGCCACGAGTGTGTCACTGGAGAACACTGGAAAACACGGGGAGAGGAGCAGTTCGTTTCAGAAGCTGGGGAAGCCCCTGAGAAGCACTCACCTCGGGGCAATTTCTTTGCCAAGAGGTTGACACCTGTTTCCTTTGCTGTGTTTGGGCCACAGGGCGCCTTTTGACGTTGGTCAGATGACGGAGCGGTGTGTGTGCGGAGTATTTGAGGACTCCCCAGCGTTGGCGCTGCGCTGGCGGGGGCGGGGCTTGCGCACGCTGATGCAGCGCTCAGACCGCCCTGGGCCTTGCCGGGGGCGTTGTCCGTGGGTCCCGAGAGCGTGGGGGGAAATGCAGTGTGTAGGCGCGCCTTGCTAGAACAAAGAAAACAGACAAGACTGGCTTGGTAAAATCACTTATCCACCTGGACTCCTCTATCTAGGACATACCTAAGAACCAAGAAATTTGCAGAAGCGATCGAAGCCTTTATGCGCAGATGCGTCCACGCCAGGCCCATCTACACTTATATAAGCAGACCTGGAGATCTAGTTTCTGAACTGCTTTGTGGATTTTGAAAGCAGAAAATTGCAAGGGGAAAGAGAAGTGTGTATAAAAGGAATGGCCCAGTAACAGTATGTTAAAGTGACAGTTAGCGTTTCAAAGGGAGAAAGAAAGAAAACTGGAAAGATGGAAAACTGAAGGAGAGACGCTGCAATCACGCTAAGAGTGCGCCACCTCTTCCGGTGATCCACAAGCACTTCGCCCTCCTGGCGGGTGCGGGGAGCCCAGCTGCGTCTGGGGGAGGGGGCTGGAATCGGAAGTTTTGAACTGTTTCCCCAGGGAGTTCCGTGAGGCCTCGTTTCAGTCCTTCTACACCGTACACAACAAGGCACCGGGTGACTCTGTTCATCGAGAGACGTTCTATTCTGCTTTTAGGAAGACAAGTGTATACCAGCTCTTAACATATCCCCACCCACAATGTTAAAATCAATTTTTTTATGCTTTGAGCATCAAATCCTCAGCTCTTTGAAAAACTTGACTCTTCAGAGTGTTCCGTTTCCTGAGAGATTGACATTTTACTGCATGGGGAAGTCACGCCACATAGAAAATACTAATTTTTTCTTATAAGAAAGTCACAGTTACTTTATAAGCAGTAAAGTTGTATAGCACTTTGTGAATAATACTTTGTGTATGTTACTCGGTTATAAAATGTGACTTGCAACTTTTCAGAAGCATGTCTGAACATCTGTATCACTTTCTGTCTTTCTCTCGCATTTGCCACTCATTATTATATGATTGTGTTTGCTAGATTGTATATATAACCCATCTTCCTGGACAAAGTAAATATGTTCTTAATGTTTCTGGGTCCGAGTACCTAGCAGGTCTCAACAAATGCTCATTGAATGACCAATAATGAAACAAGCTATGCTGAGCTGTCTAATTCATCCTTTACCGACCCTGCAAAAACTTTCCAGGACCTCCCCCGCCCCCACCCACTGTGATCACACACTAAAATCTTCACGGTGCATGAACTGCATCTGATGGTGGGAGTTGCCTGAACACTTGAACTGCGTCTTTGTGCCTTTGCTTTCCCCTCACGGAATTCGAGGGCGGGAGCAGCATCGGGCGTCTGGCCTGTGAAGAGGCCACAGGCTTCAGACGCAGTTCGCAAGTGTGCTCTCGTGGTGGGTGTGCTCTTGCCCTGCCGGGGTCTCTGTGGCGAGGCGGGGGCTGCCGGGGAGGCTGCCCGGGAGGCCTGTATCGCAGCGTCGGGAGGAAGTTCACCTGTGCTCGCTCTGTCGTTGGCCGCAGGTGACTGTGGAGGAAGTCATGACCACAACTGCGTATCTGGACCTTTTCCTGCGCAGCATCTCTGAGCCGGCACTGCTTGAGATCTTCCTCCGCTTCATCCTGCTGCACCAGCACGAGAACGTCCACATCCTGGACACTCTCACGAGTCGGATCAACACCCCCTTTCGCGTGAGATTTCAGGAGTTTCTTTCTGGAGAAAGATCACGAATATTCTCTGCCCCACCCCCCTGCAGCCATTGCCTTTTCTGTTTTACAATTAGATAATGCATTTTGTTCGGGGCCCTTTTGTCAGGCACTTACTGCCCTTCAGAGGAGCTTTTCTTCAATGTGTCTGGGCTGGCACTTTTTCTGTGGAGCCAGCAGACTGCGCTTCTGAGGAAGCCTGATGCGGAGGCCAGGGGGCCCTAGTGCAGGCAACGGGGGAGGACGGGAGCGGGTCAGGTCTGGGCGTTAGACGTTCTGTGTCTGTCCCCGAGGGTTTTGGAATGGGGACCGGGCAGGTGTGAATTGAGGAAGTCATTCTTTTTTTTTTTTTTGAGATTTATTTATTTATTTTTAGAGAGGGAAGGGAGGGAGGGAGAGAGAGAGAGAGGGAGAGAGAGAGAGAGCGAGAAAGAGAAAGAGAAAGAGAAAGAGAAAGAGAAAGAGAGAAACAGGAATGTACGATTGCTGGGGGCCGTGGCCTGCAACCCTGGCGTGTGTCCTGACTGGGAATCGAACCTGCGATACTTTGGTTCGCAGCCTGCGCTCAATCCACTGAGCTACGCCAGCCAGGGGAAGTCATTCTTTAGTTTGAACTTCTGATCCACTTCAAAAATCCTCTTATATTACTAGTGCTGTCCCCAGCCAGGGGCTGTCTCAGTCTAACAATAGTTATTGTTTTAAAAGTAAAAGAATAATAATTTCACAATATATCACTGAGCTTGTAACATACAGCTGTAATATGTATAACAATAATAGCACAAAAAGAGGTTAGAAGGAAGATAGCTATCTCTGTTTCACTGGAACTAATTTAGTATAAACTGAAGTGAAGTCTGATAAGTTAAGATGTATATGGTAAGACCTGGAGCAACCCGCTAATAAAATAACTGTAATATATAGTGAAACAGTCATTAAAGGAATGAAAATGTCATACTAGGGAAAATATTCACTCAATGCACAACGAGACAGTAGAAGAGGAATAGGAGAACCAAAACTCATGAGACATATAGAAAGCAAAAAGTTAAACAGCAGACAAATCCAATTATAAAAATAGTATAAGTGTGAATAGGTTAAAAACTTAATCGAAAGGCAGAGATGACCAGATAGCAGAAGAAAGGAAGCTCCAGCTGTATGCCAGCTATGAGAGATCTGCTTCAGATTCAGAGATTGAAAGTGAAACTCCTAACCCTGAACTGAACCAAATAACTGACAATGCACGTAGAATAACCCTTAGAAATTACAAGGGAAGCTTATGGGACAACACACTTACTGTAAAGATAAAAGCTTGTATAGCTACTGTAGTTTATAAAACTGCACAGTGTCGGTCGGAGAGTATAAACTTCCAGTTATAAGATGAATAAGATCTGGGGCTCTAACATGGTGACTATAGTTAACACAACAGTATACAATATGTTACATCCAGTATTGCCATGGTAACCCCTTCCAATCAGTGTCTGGCATGCTTAGCATGGTATCTTTTTATCACCGAGCTGCAGGAGTATGCAGGGAATGTGCGTTCAGGCTATTGGTTCTCCTGTAGCGTCTCATGAGAGAGTGTAAGCCCGTAATGAAGCCGTTATGCAGAGTCACCCTCCCACAAAATGCCTGCGTGCATCTCTTCCACCTTATGAAGATGCAGACACTCCTGCCCCCAAATTACTTAAGTGGCCTGATAAAATGATGAAAGCTTACTCCTGAAAGGGTGTGATGGTTTTATAATACACCTTTGGGTTTCTTTCCTGTTTATCTTTCCCTTTTGAAAATAAGGGAGTGAAAGGAGTCTTGTTTTTTTTTTTTTTAATGGACTCCTTAGAAAAGTATCTTCTCACGTCCTGAGTGGGACTGAAAATGGAACCAAAGAGAACGTTTACCCCGAAGCCAGGACACAGGGCAAGAGGAGCTGAGGCTGGGGGCTGAGCACTCTGCAGGGAAAGTTGAGCAGGGTATATGCAGTTTTCCGTTAGCCCTGCCTTCTAGATAGCTAGTGTCGTATCTGAAGATAACTTAGGAAAACAGTTGACAAGGAGACATCGCGTGTGTGTGCATGCACACGTCCATATGCATGTATTGGAGAGTTGTGGGGGTGTTCTTGTCTGGGTCTTAAAAAGTTGGAAGTATGAACTAGGCATCTTGCAGGAGGGTAATTCTGCAAGATGGTAAAATTCCAGGCTCAGTCTTTCCTTTTTTTATTAAATATTGTTTTTTAAGCACAGTCTCCATTTCCCCCCATCACTCCCCCCACCCCACCCACCCCCAACTCCCACCCTCAATCCTACCCCCCTTTGTTTGGCTTTGCCCATGGGTCCCTTATGCATGTTCCTTGACAACTCTTCCCCCTTTCCCCCTGTTATCCCTCTCCCCCTTCCCCCTGTTTTTCCCCTTTCCCCTTGTTTTCCCCCTTTCCCCCTGTTATCCCTCTCCCCCCGTTATCCCCCCCTTATCCCCTCCCCTCCCCCCTGTTATCCCCTCCCCCTTTGCCCCTGTTATCCCCCTCCCCCAGGCTTAGTCTTTCTAATCAAACCCTACAGGAGAGCCGATGGCCTAGATACACATTCTCTCTGGCAGCAGCGTATTTTTACCAAAACTGCTGAAGAAAAAAGGCCATTTTATTTTGTAATTCCAATTTATTTACCATCTGTGGAGGGCAGAGCTGTCCTTCCAATATCTGAAATAGAATGTGTTCATTGCTCTTCAGCTCTGTGTGGTGTCCCTGGCCTTATTTAGAACTCTCATCGGTTTGCACTGTGAAGATGTGATGTTACAACTAGTTCTGAGGTGAGTTGTCATCTTTGTTCTCTTTAAAGAAGAAGTCACTCTCTGTGTATTTCCCTGGTAATATAAGCTAAATAGGGGCCATGTTTCTAAGGAAGAAAGTCATCAAGAAGAGCAATTTAATTTCTGTATTATTTCCCACGGTTAATTTTGGTTTTACTGTTAAAAGTTTTCAGGGTGCCAAGTGCATTATGTTATAAATATGCTCCTGGAAAGAGTAGATGGAATGTTTGGAAATTTTCAGAATTATTATGAACGTTCTTCTGGTCCATGTGTGAATGTCTTTTTCCTAAGGTACATTTTCAGGGGGTCGGCGTTATTCGGAAATGCTGTCGATACATAATTCCTGTGGCACCTGCTTTGGAAACGGCACACATGCGTACATGTACACGCTTTGACTCTGTGTACGGTTCGGTGAGGTTCAGTAAATACTTCACGAGTCCTGAACGTGTGCAACTCGGAAGGGGGTAAGGTGTGGAGCAGACGAACTGAAAAGGACTTACCTACAAGGCAGAAAAGGCATGTCCTTCAGAAGTGCAGGTGGGAAGGTTTTCATCAAGTGGCCGGTGGTATTTGATGACAGGTGTTGGGAATCAGAATAGGCTACTATTATGACCACATTAATTTGGTCATTTGGCAAGGGGACTCGGGACCCCCAAATCCTGTCTCGGCCCGGGTCTGCCTCTCCCTCCAGGGTCCCTGAGGGCACCGCTGCTTTTGTAAAGGAAGGAAGGGAGAGCTGGCTGGCTCGTGCTCCCACACAACCCTCCGGTGGTGCGGAAAAGCCCGCCAGGCCCCTGGGCACGTCCCCCACCTGCTCCCTCCTAACTGGCCTCCTGACCCTTCCTTCGGTCCCTCTCTGGGAGTGAGGGTGGGAGAAGCCAGAGCAGGGAGTGGGGGAGGAGGCTCGGGCTGTCCCTGGACCCTGTGAGTGTGTTGACACCACGAGGGCAGAATTGCCAGGGAGATGGCATCCCAAGTAAGTATAACAGCATTTTGGGAGTGGTAGTCGTGGAAAAGAAAGGGGACGATGGAAATGTGTCATCGTGGGGACAACAGCAGTGGCACCGCCTGGGAACTAGTTAGAAATGCACATTCTTGGCCTCCCCCAGACGTGCCAACTCGGGGGGCGGGTGTGTTTCCACAGACTCTCCGGGGGCCCTGGTGCCCCGCTGCCTTTGAGAACCCCCTGCTGGAGGGTGGCGCGGTGAGGCTGTCGCTCCCTGGAAAGGGGGTGACAACGACAGGCTGGGAGCGGTGGGAGTGGCACTGTGCCGGAGACCCTACAGAGTCACCCTTTCATGGAACAGTGCCACCTCTCAGTTTTCTAAATTTAAAGCGAGTTTTAGCAGTTTAGATCAGGTCATCAGCAAGCACTCTTAAGGTGTTAGCAAAGAACAAATCTTATCACGAGTAAATGCCCGGGGTGGAGCCTTAGTTATCCGTCCTAAAAGGATTACTTTAGCTCCCAGCCAAGCCTCTGCTGCCAGGACAGAACACAGTAGCACCGCCAGGATGAAATTCGTCGGTGCAACTTGTGAAAGACTTTTTTCTTGCCAAAAAAGAGATTTTGCCTCCAACAAGAGTAAAACCTGATTATATTTAAATGTTAAACTCTCGAATACTGCTTCTTGGATGGCGTGAAATACATGTGTGGTTTTTAGAGTGTGTACCTGGAAGCCTGGCCCGGCTCAGGAGTGTGGAGTTCTGATGCAGGGTCACCAGGTCGGGTGGGGCCCGGTGAGGGCGCCGGCTGTTTACCTTTACAAGGTGAGCTCTCGTCACCTTCGGTCTGCTTACAAGGCGGCATTCATTAAAAGCTGTCCTTCGAGATACTAGGTAAAATCTGTCGTTTATGAAGGGGGAGAAATCAGCTCATGGTTGAAATGTTTGCACGTTCAAGTCAGGACGAGTTATTTCCAGGGTAAGGACGAGTCATTTCCCAGGAATCACCAGGAAGACGCCTGAAGGACACACATCACGGGTTCTGAATAATGGAAAAATGGCAGACATAACCACCTGGTCCTAAGCTTGCTTTCTTCTCGGTTTCTTTGGTGATGGATGATGATGATGATGGTGATGATGATGGTGATGATGATGATGATGCCTTTTATTGAACACTTCGTTTCTGATTCTGCGGCACTGCCTGGGGAATCCAGGACAGGAGCAGTAGGAGAGCTTCCACGGAAGTTGGGCACGTGGTAGCCACACAGCAAACCTCTACGTCCTGGTCTCCATCTTCCAAACTGCTGATTTCCACCACAGTTAAAAATTATTATTTTTTATTGTGGTAAAATACATGTAGAATTTGTCCCCTTCGCTATTTTTAAGTGCACAGTTCAGCGGCACTGAGGGCGTCCCCATGGTTGGGCCGCCATCACCACTGCTCAGCCATCTCAGAACTGTTCTTACCTGCGACACCAACGCCCTGTGTTTGTTACACACTAGCTCCCCGTTTCCCTCCCCCGGCCCCTGGCAGCCACCGTCTACTTCCTGTCTCTATGAATTTGGCTCCTCCAGGGACCTCACGTAAGTGGAATCAGGTAGTGTGTGCCTTTTTGTACTTGACCGATTTCACGTAGCAGAGTGTCTTCAAGGTGCACCCATGCTGTATGTACCATGTGTCAGAATTATCTTTGTTTTTAAGGCTGAATAATATTCCATTGTTTGTACCACCATTTTTAACCCATTCTTCTGTCAATGGACAGTGTGATTGCTTCCGATTTTTGGCTATGGCGAGTGATGCCGCTATGAACACGGGATGCATGTATCTCTTACAGACCCTGCCAGCAATTCTTTGAGTATATTCCCAGACATGGAATTGCTAGATCATATGACAATTCTATTTTAAAATTTTTATTGTTTTCTATAGCAGTTTCTCACTTTAGGTGCCTACCAACCATGCATAAGGCTTCCAACTTCTCCATATTCTCACTGACATTTGTTATTTCCTGTTAAGAAAATGGATATTTTTACTCAAACAAAAATGACAGGCAGGTTTGAGGAAGAACCAACTAAATCTCTTAGAAATAAAAATGGTTATTTGGGGTAAATAGCAATTAAGACACAGATTAAGAGAGAATTAATGAACTAGAAGATAGATTGAGGAAGTTACTAAGTTTGCAGCAGAAAAAGATAAAGAGATAAAAAATATAGAAACAAGGCTATGAACAGTGGAGGCTAGAACCCAGTGAGAACCCCAGAGCGAGAGTGAACTGCTGGTTGGACTTGACCTATTCTGGCCTTGGGATTTGCTACCTCACAAGGTTTTTGGGAGGATCGACTGTAGTGATATCTGTGAAACTATATTGAAAGTCTACAAAGTATTACACAAATTTAAGGGAGCAGAATTTTCTAGAAAATATGTTTTAAACTAATGAAAATAATGTCCCTTCTGATTTAGAATCTGTACGAAAAGCAACAGCAATGAAAAACCTTTATCCTTTTATTTATTTAAACTTTATCTTAAGGGACATAAAAAAATAGATGTGTAATCCATCCCTTTGTTGTTGCCAGTGTTCTTACTCGAATGTACGTGATAAATTTGTAGAACTGGGAGGCAACAGAGTAGTGAAGATTATGTGGATCCTTTTAATGGAGCTGGTATGTGATAACTAATAGCTATACACCAGTTTTTAGTTGCAACCCAAATACTCTTAAATATTGACATCTACAAGTGATAATCCATTTGCAACTGATATGGTTCTTTCATTTAGCAAAATACCAGATAAATAAGTTGAAATAAAATACTCCCCAAAGAGAGGCTATTTTAGCGAGCAGAAAACCAAGGAGAAATTGTGCATCTCCACGGGAGTGACATACGGTAGACCAAAGGCAGGCAGGAAACGCTGACCAGCAGGGAAGTGACAGATCACCCCATGTGCCTGGTGCTTCCCAGTTTGGGCGAGATTTAATTGCTTCGCACTCTGAGCGCTATTTATGCATATTCTGGTTGGGGTGTTTCTTTCAGAAGTGCGGGCCCGTTATCAGCTTTATGAACTGCATTGCCTATTGTGTGCAGATAGAGGCTGTTTTGCTCACAGAGAAGCTGCGTGTACCCTCCAGGAACATCTCCCTCTAGCATGGGAGTGGGCGACGGAGAGCAAAAAAAAGCCAGCCAGCCCTGTGGAGGACGAATAGGAGAAATATGCCCGCACTGTCTCGGAAAACCAGACGATCCTTTGGAAATGCACTGATGTTGTGCTTTAGGGTTTTGCCTGGTGGCGGTCATTCAGGCGTTCATCAGCCCGTGGGAAGCACCTTGCTCACGCCACCGCGCTCCACTGCTTTGTTTTGTTGGTGTCTTTGTCGATGCAGCGGTAGGCCATACGTATGCCTGTGATTGACCGGTTGTCACGGCTGATGATTTATGTTCATGAATGACATCCAGGAAAATAGAAAATAGAATCAGGGTTGCAGAGAGTTGGGGAAATAATGAGAAGAGAGAGGACAAAGGGGACAATATATACTTTTTCTTGTAATACTGTGGCATGGCTTTGGGTAATCTGGACTCCTAAAATTAGATATTTATTACTTTGGGATATTTACCACTTCATGAATTTCAGTAAAGTCCCCAAACAAAATGTAGTAAAAACAAAAAGATAGTTTGATGTCAAATACACCAAATTCCTAAGAGATTTTTCTGCTATCGAAGGCCACTTCACTTTGAGATTTGACATCCGAGGACTTTCTGACATTTGCTCTGTTTCCTTTTTAGAATGAAACGGAGCTGCCGTATAACATTATCCATGTTTCAGGTGTACACACCGTGACTCACTGTCTATGTGTCTGGGCTGCGGTAGCCACACTGGCAACCACCTGTCACCTGTTCACCTGTCCCCACAAGACTCCCCCTCTGGCAACCTTCCAGAGGGGTTCCGTGTTTCTACAGATTTGTTCTGCTTGTTCATTTGTTTTCATTTTTTAAAAAATCCAACAAGTGAGGTCGTGCAGTACCCATATTTCTGTCTGACTTACTTCCCTTAGCATGAGGGGGACGGACCCCCTCAGTCCACCCACGTTGTTACTCGTGGCAGGAGAGCATTCTTTTCCACTGCTGAGTAGTAGTCCGCCGGGCATGCACTGCGGCTCCTTTATGCACTTACCACCCCTCCCTGCCCCCCTGGTGCCCGCTGAGGCTGCCCTCACCGCTCAGCTGTCGGAAATGAGGCCTCAGGGAGCCTTTGCTTTGCTTTCTGTCTTCCCCCGTAAGTGACGGAGAGGCAGCGGGTCGGTGCACAGTTCTCCCGCTCTCCACTGCAGGACAAGCCTGCAGTACAGAGGTGCAGTAGAGCAACCACGTGGGCTGCAAAGGGCTTGTACACGTGGACTGACTCACCCGCTTCCACCGTGGCAGGGCCTCTCCTTCCCCGCACAGGGGGGCTCCCTTCATGGGATCTCCTCAGAGGACAAGTCTTAGTTTCTGCTGAAAGCATGTATTTGCAAAGTTGCAAATTCCCAATACCTCTTTATTCTAACATAATTTCAAGCTACCCACTGGTGATATTTGACAAATAGTTTTATTAGGTTTGATCCACTGTGCCATTTAAAAAAAATGCTTCAAACAAAGAGCAGAAATCTATGGCTATATCATCTTAAGTCATGAAATGTGCTTGGTTGGAGCTGTAAGCAGTCATTGAGTTCCTGCAGTAGGTACAAGCTTTGAGGCAGTTTATTCTTGAATAATTAATGATGAGACTGAGGACATGATAAAGGCTGTGTAATCGGAATCGGCCTCATCAGCCTACAAGAACGGGAGAGTTCACATCCACAACCACAGGAGAGGTTTCCCCAGCTCACCTCTGCCCCTGCAAAGCAGCAGCCATGACTGCTGGAGGTTGCTAAGGGAGGGGTTCATTCACGAATGAGCCTGTCTCCACCAGTTGCCACCGCAGCCTCTGCTGTGGTCTCCTCCCTGCCTGAGGCCACTGTGGTTGGTGTCCCTTCTTCTCCGTCCCGGCTGGGCCCTCGCCCCTCCTGGGAGCCAGGGTGCCGGGGTGCTGGAGCAGCACTGTCTTCCCTGGTGCCCACGGGGCTGGGGCCAGGCTGTGTTCGGACTGGCGGGAGAAAGGCTCTCTCCCCTGCGTCCCTCAGCGTCGCCACCACATCTCTGCACAGAGAGGTCCCTGTGGAATGAGCTCCTTCGTCTTCTGCCAACAGTGGCCACTCCGCCTCCAGCAGGGCACAGGAAAAGTCCCCAGAGCCGGGCCAAGAACTAGAACAGACCCGCCCCCTTTCCCACATGGCCCCCTTCAGCTAGCCCTCCTGTTCATCCTTGCCGCCTCTCATGGCCGTGAACCTGGACTGATGAAAACGGGCTCGTCTGTGCCAGACAGAGGGACCTGTCTGGACCTCAGCGACCTCAGCTCAGGCTTCCGGGGTGCGCGTCTGTCTGCCCAGGGCTGCGGGGAAGGCCACCGGGGTGGAGTCCTTGGTTGTTCTGGGGGACAGGTTAAGTGGCAACCTTGTCATTGCATACCTTGGAAGTTATTAAGATGTGTGGTGGGAAGTACCATGAAGAGAATTAAATCTTTTTTTTTAAAGATTTTATTTATTTGAGCTCGGGCTGGGAACCAAAGTGTCCCAGGTTCGATTCCCAGCTAGGGTACATTCCTGGGTTGCAGGCCATAACACCCAGCAACCGCACATTGATGTCTCTCTCTCTCTCTCTCTCTCTCTCTCTCTCTCTCTCTCTCTCTCTCTCTCCCCCTCCCCCCCACCCCCCTTCCCTCCTTAAAAATAAATAAATAAAATCTTAAAAAAAAGATTTTATTTATTTACTTAATTATTTTTTGAGAGGGTGAGGAGGGAGAAAGAGAGGGAGAAAAACATCAATGTGTGGTTGCATCTCACATGCCCCCTACCAGGGACCTGGGCCTGCAACCGAGGTATGTACCCTGACTGGGAATCGAACCAGCAACCCTTTGGTTTGCAGGCCGGTGCTCAATCCACTGAGCTGCTCCAGCCAGGGTGAGAATTAAATCTTTATTCCTCCTTGACTCGGGCTCCTGCAGTGGGTCCGTCGTCAGCGTGAACACAGGTTTTTCTCACTTGGATGAACAGATGTGGCAGACGGCTTAGTACCTACAGGCCTCAAGACACTCCCTGAAAGTCCTACGTCTTATCTTTCTCATGGACTCCTTAATCACAGCCTGTTCCCCCTGCACTGCCTCTTCCCCGAAAGTCAAAGAGCGAAATGAAAGCATTCTGGTTGCCTGAGACTGTGGTTGTTCCCATGAAGTGCAGGCTCTTCTGGAACTGGTCCTGCTCATTTACGGGACGCTGGGCTCTGGCTGTGGGGCCTCATCACCGCTGTTCCAGCCTTGTTAAACGGCATCGTCTCTCTCCCTGTTAAGAAAGTAAGCCATTCAGGCCCGGGCTGGCGTGGCTCAGTTGGTTGGAATGTCGTCCCGTTGGCGGAAAAGTTGCGGTTTTGATCCTGGTCAGGGTAAATATTCAGATTGCGGGTGTGACCCCCCGGTGGCCTTCCCCGCAGCCCTGGGCAGACAGACGCGCACCCCGGAAGTCTGAGCTGTGGTTGCTGAGGTCCAGACAGGTCCCTCTGTCTGGCACAGACGAGCCCATTTTCATCAGTCCAGGTTCATGGCCATCAGAGGCTGCAAGGATGAACAGGGGAGCTAGCTGAAGGGGGCCGTGTGGGAAAGGGGGCGGGTCTGTTCTAGTTCTTGGCCTGGCTCTGGGGACTTTTCCTGAGCTCTGCTGGAGGCAGAGTGGCCACTGTTGGCAGAAGACGAAGGAGCTCGTTCCACAGGGACCTCTCCGTGCAGACACGTGGTGGCGACGCTGAAGGATGCGGAGGAGAGAGCCCTTCTCCTGCTGGTCGGAACACAGCCCGGCCCTGGTGCATCCAAGAAGGCAATCGACTGAGGTTTCTCTCTCTCATTGATGTTTCTCTCTTTCTCTCCCTTCCTCTCTCTCTAAAAAAGCAATGAAAAAAATGTCCCCGAGTGTGGATTAAAAAAAAAAAAAGTAAGCCATTTACACATTTTCTTCTGCCCGTGAAGCCCACAGCGTGTTCTGAGCACGTCAGACACAATTGCCCAGGTTTTCTGGTCTTCACGGTCGTAATGACTCTAGGATGGTTTGGATAACAGCCCAAAGCACCTCGTGTGAAATGGGGCCCAGGGCCCCTCGGAGAGTCTTCGGCCCCCGTATTTTCTCACGGTCACCCCGGAGACTCCGAGAGGAGGATTGCCCTGTGCCGTGGTTCTGCTGCCCTTCGGTGCCCACTGGGAGTCAGGGCTCCTGGGGCGACATTTCGGAATCGTTGAAGGTGGTCCTTGCTCTGAGAGTGGGTTGTACTGAGGAGGCAGATGCTGAAATAAGACTGGTCATGGTGCTTTAGTGGAGGTCTGTGAGCGTAGTGGAGGGAGAGAGTCGCTCTGTCTTGCAGTAGGAGGCCCGGAGGCTCCCTGGAGGAGGGGACCCTGACTCTGGAGTTTGTGTGACGACAAGGCGTTTGTCAGGCCGGGAAAGGGGAAAGCACCTTCCAGGCGAAGGCTGCGGTGGGTGCAGAGGCACGGAGGCAAAGAGGGATGGTGGATTTATGAAGAGATGGGGGGATGTTGTGGAGCTGAAATCGTGAGCCCCTCAAATGTTCTGCACAGGGGTTTGTTCTGTCGGAGGAAAGATGCCCGGGAAAGATTTTAAGCAAGTCTGTGGACCCAGGGGGCATGGGTGGGTTGAGACGGGGGAAAGCACCCCTGGCCGCAGCAGGTCCTGAGTGTGGCTCAGGAGGTGGCTGCCTGGGAACGGCCTTTGCGGAGACTGAAGGCGGCCCTTTTTGTCCTTCCAGGTATCTGATCCCCTGCAACCACATGATGCTGAGTCAGAGGTGGGCTGTGAAGGAGCGGGACTGTTACTCTGTGTCTGCGGCCAAGCTGCTCGCCCTGACCCCGGTCTGCTGCTCCAGTGGGATCACCCTGACGCTCGGGAACCAGGAGAGGGATTATATTCTCTGGTCAAAGTGCACGCACGATAGTTCAGGTAGGAACTCCCTGGGGCTGCTCTTCCAACAGAAGGATGCCCGAGCCTGCCTCTCCTTGGGGTGTGTGTCTCTTTGAGAAGACAGGGACCCAGACAGAGAGTTCCGTTGCTTTTTTACATGAATGTCTAGTTGGGGGTCCTTTTCCACATTGTAAGGAGTTATGGACACTTGGCGATCAGTGTTCGTCTTGTGCCCAGCTGCCACCGAGTGCAGGCTCCCAGGACCTTTACTTTAACCAGGATTTCTAGTGAGGATTTCACCCTCAGCATCCAATGTGAAGAGGTGCCGGAACGTCTTCCCAAACAAACTAGGGGGACGGGTGGTGGAGGTGGCTGTAGCAGAGACAGAGTCAGCCCTTACTTTAATTTCCACAATGGCCCACACGTGGAGACTTGCCTGTCAATAACGCATCATCATAAAACTTGAAATTCGTGGTATGGCGACGGGTGTCGGATTCATTCGATTGGCCTAGTGAGGGATGTTTCACAAATACTCTGTTTCTGCAGGAGTTAGAGCACGCAGTGCTGTCGGCCAGCTGCTCTTGACCTTGACACGTAAAATGGAACCGCTCACCTCTGTGGCTCTGGGCTCTCCGCAGGCAGCTGCTGCAGGGGCGTTTGTGTGTGTCCGGAGGTCAGAGGGCTGTGTGAGTTCAGGAAGATCCTGCCCGTCCTGTGGCCGCTGGGAAATGGCCAGGAGGTCCTGGTGATGACTCAGGCATTCCAGTCTGCATTCTGACCCCCCCTCCCCCTCACACACACACAGTGTCACTCACTGCACCTGGGTGGGCTTCTGGTGGGCTGCACCAGGCTGCTGGGTTAGGGGAGCACCAGCACATTCCGTATGAACGTACCTTCTAGAAAGTAGGCTTGTCTTACTGGTTCTTGGTCTTCAAAGGTACAGTGTATGAGTGAAAATGAATCATTTTTGTGGCAGAATAATCAACTGGGTTTTAAATATATTGTCCTGTTAGTTAAACTAGTGTGGCTTTCTGATCTGTTCGTACCCAATAGTTATTTTGTTTATTTTTATTTATGAAATTCCCATAGTTACTTTTTTAAGGATTTTATTTATTTATTTTTAGAGAGAGGGGAAGGGAAGGAAAAAGAGAGGGAGAGAAACATCAGTGTGTGGTTGCTTCTCACACGCCCCCATCTGGGAACCTGGCCCGTACCCCAGGCATGTGCCCTGACTGGGGATCAAACCTGTGACCCTTTGGTTTGCAGGCCTGTGCTCAATCCACTGAGCCACACCAGCCAGGGCCCTAATAGTTATTTTTTTAAAAAAACATATTTAAAATTGACATCTTTTTTTATTTACTAAAAAAGTTATCTCAAGAACGGCTGTGGCTGGCCTTGCCACAGGACTCAGACTTCAAGTTAGCCAGGCCGCTGTGGGTGCCCGCGACTGTCCTTGCCTGTGGGCAAGGTCACACGGAGTTCTTTGAGGAAGGGGGCCTGCCCAGTGTGGAGGCGAAGAGGCGAACTCGGAGAGGGGTTGGCTTGTTGAGGTCGTCTAGCTGGTGGGTGCTCTGAGCCAAGCTGCATGTTCTTCCTGCTTTGCTGCCTCACAGACGCTCTGACAGACGCCCTGGTGGGTGGATGGCTACATAGACGGGAGGGTGGTAGGGGAGACGGGTTGGTAGAGAATGTAATTACTGTGCAGTGGCTAAGAGCTAGGACTCTGACTCTTTGGCTCTGCTACTTTCTTGGGCAAATGACTTACCATTTTAAACTTTTTCTGTCATATGTAAAGTAATACCTACCTAAAAGGGTTGTTTCAAAATTAAGTGACCTTGGACATGTACAAGCTCTTAGAAGACTACCTGGCATGTAGTAAGTGCTAAGGAAATATTGCTGGTATCATTTTTTATGTCTTTTTACTTAAAGTGGATAAGGGATAAACACTAACCTTTCAGCAGGAGAGCTGTGAAAAATGAATTATGTCTACCCCAATGACCCAAAAATGTCTATTCTTACAGGTTCAGCTCCAGGCTATCCTGGTGGGGGTTTAGGTAGCTCAGGGAGAGGCAGGGAGCTGGCAGAGGGGAAGCACCAGGTGAAAGCAGCACGGGGCTGTCACGAGACAGCCTGGGCTTGACCTGTGGCTCCGCCGCTGGCTAGCCAGTCGGGTGAGCTTTCGTGTCTGAGCCGCCATTTCTTCATCTTTATTCAGTTTTATTTATTTATTTATTTTTAGAGAGAGGGGAAAGGAGGGAGAAAGAGAGGGAGGGAGACATCAATGTGTGGTTGCCTCTCACACACCTGCTACTGGGCACCTGGCCTGTAGCCCAGGCATGTGCCCTGACTGGGAATTGAACCGGCGACCCTTTGGCTTGCAGGCCAGAACTCAGTCCACTGAGCCACACCAGCCATGGCTAATCTCCTCATCTGTGAATGGAGAAAATAGTATCTGCCATGTAGGTTGTTGTGAGGATTAAATTCAATAGCCTGCCACATGGTGGGTGTTTAAGAAAACCATAGAATATATATTTTCCGTGTTTGAGACCTTTTTTTTTTCAAGTTGTGCAGTTGAGAACTTGATAACACTTGAAACATTCTTAGGCGAAAAAGACCATTTGAATAGGACTTTATCCTAAGAGACCATTTGGTTCTCATCAACCTCCCAGTGGTTCTCAGGGAGGCAGAAGAAGGCTTTTTTAAAACCCCAGGTTTTCTAGAGAAGACCCGTTCCCCAGATTCATGGATCACGGGCCTTCCACTTCAGAGTCGAAGGAAAACCTTTGGAAGTGTTACCTACTCCGTGGCAGGCACTGGATTTGATGTATTGCCTGAGGTTGCCCTAGTTACGTCTTATTTCCCTAAGGCCGCCCTCCAATCACAGCTTTCTGTCGGAGGCAGCAGAATCCGACCGGCCATCACGGTTCTGTATCTCCTGTGAGGGTAGACTTTCTGTTCTTATCTTTCCTTCTGAAAACCTATGCACTTTTACCGTTCAGAAATCATTTAATCAGAAATGACCAGAACCACATAGCTGGTGGGAGGAGGTCTCGGCAGCCCGCGGAGCCACATCCAGCTGCTGCCTTGGTCCCCGCCCCTCTCTGAAGTGGCAGAAGGGGCGCGTTCATTCTGACCTGACTCTGCCTCCCCCCGCAGGGCCCCTGGAGCAGCCGCTCCCTGAGACACCCCCTCCGTCGGCCTGCATCGTGGAGTGCGGCAAAGCCCTGGACATCAGCTACCTGCAGTACCTCTGGGAGGCCCACGCCAACATCCTCCAGTGCATGCGGGACTGCCGCGCCTGGTCCGCGCTCTACGACGGGGACTCGCCCGACGCGGAGATGTTCCTGCAGACTCTGGCAGAGGACCGCGCTCCCAGCCCCACCTCCCCCGCGGGCAGGCCCCCGCAGCAGCCCCCCAGGCAGACGGGGGCCGTGCTGGTGGCTCCGAGGAAGGACAAGAGCCAGACGGACCTGGAGTGGGACGACAGCTACGACACTGGGATCTCCTCGGGGGCGGACGTGGGCTCCCCCGGGCCCTACGATGATCTGGAGGGTTCTGGCCAGCCGATGCCGGCGGATCCCCCCAAACACATCCAGGAGATGAAGAAGAACGCCATCCTCCGCTTCAAAGGGACCTACATCGAAGAGTCGGACTTTCAGGACGACGTGATGGTGTACCGGCTGTGTGCGGAGAAGGACTCTGAGGACGCCACGGGTTCACAGGAGGAGCCGGCGGGGCCCCCGGCCCAAGGCCGGACCGAGGTCCAGAGCCCCCCGCTGAACAACGGTCCCCTGCCCAGCCCTCAGCCCCAAACAGATTCAGAGGAAGAGCCGGACAGGGACGGCTCAGACATGTTTCCGAGCGTGTCCCAGGAGCCACGGTGGGAGCGGTGTCCCGAAGGAGCCCCAGAACCACACGCAGAGCCAGCACCCCCTGTCTCCGAGGCAGGGCACCATTCAGACCTGATGGTGGTGGACCCCGAGGGTGAAGATTTCATTGCCCAGTACGACCAAATCATTAAGGAACTGGATTCTGGCACTGAGGGCTTGATGGGACAGAACTTGTCTCCACCTGATCCCTTGCTCCTCACGAATGAGCAAGAGGGGAAGGAAGACCGCAGGGGCGAAGAGGAGGAGGAGGAGGAGGAGGGAAAGAGGGAGCTGGAAGAGGAGGAGGAGGAGGAGGACTTCGACTCTTTTATAGCGGACGCCCCTGCCGCAGAGGCCGTGCCGTCCCCCTTCGGGGTGAGAGAGGAGACTGACTTTGCCAGTCACCGCCCCGCGAGGACTCAGAGCATCCCGTTCACAGGTGACCGTCTTAGCTTGCTTTGTGCTTTCTGCTTTTGAAAGTGCTTGTGCCTCTGACAGCGGGAGAGTAAGGTAGGTGGAGGTAAGGAGCGTTAGCCGTTTACCCGGCAGAGGCGTGAAAGTATTCTCGTAAAGAGTGGAGTGATTTTATTTTTATTTTGTTTTGTCATTCTTGGCAGTGGTGGTGGCTTTTCCCCACCAGCAAGTTAGAGGTTGAATTTCACTGCTGGGTAACTTCCCTTGCCTTGCCTGTGATAAAGTGATAGGTCTGATGAAACCACACCAGAAAACCAGGCTCCTTGTTTAATAGCTTCCTTTCCTTTAGTCTAATTTATTTTCCTTCTTGGCATTTATTTTATTTTTTTAAAAAAGATTTTATTTATTTTTAGAGATGGGAAAGGAGGGAGGGAGAGAGAGAGAGAGAAACATCAATGTGTGGTTGCCTCTCGTGTGGCCCCCACTGGGGATCTGGCCTGCAACCCAGGCATGTGCCCTGACTGGGAACTGAACCAGCGACCCTTTGGTTTGCAGCCCCCACTCAATCCACTGAGCTATGCCGGCCAGGGCTCTCCTTGGCATTTATTTTACGTGAATTTTTAAAGTACATCCCCCCCATTAGAAGGTGTGCCCAGGTGCTGGCTTGCTCTCGGCTGTATCCCCAGCACCCGGCCAGCCACCGGAGCTCAGGGAGGCACTGGTGTTCTTGCTGCGAACACATCGGAGGCCACTGGGTTAGTCGGGCCTTTGCCCGGGAGCTCATTTCAGATCATCGCAAAATCTTCATCCACAAATATGTACGGCAGACCCGTGAACGCGTAACTCTACTAAAGTACGGGTGATACACCCCTCAGAGCAGGCACGCATCCTGGTGGAGGCCAGGGAACGGGGCCGGAGGTCAGACGAGGGTGTTGGGATGGGGTGGAGATACAGAATGGCGCGAAATATCGGCCAGCAAAATCTGAGTCTGAAGATCGTGATGCCGAGGGGCCTGGCACAGAGTAGACTTCATCGAGCTCAGGGGTGGGTGGGTGGGGCCCCCGAATGGTGTTTAGGGAGCACGGGGAGGTCCCTCAAGGAGCTGGCATCCCAGACGGACAGACACCGGCCTTGGAGTCAGGCCCAGTCTGGCACTTTCAGCCACGGGGCCTTAGTGTCTCTGACCCTCGCTTCTCCCCGTGAGGACTGAATGTCATACTGGGGCATCGTGAGTATGACCCCAGGCAGCCCCCAGCAGCCTCGGCTGAGGCCTGTCCCTCCCGGGGCAGGAGAGACCATGCTCGTGTCTCCCCAAGTCAACCAGGTCAAGGAAATCACACTGCCTTCTGGCCCAGCCAGTCTCCCTGTGAGTTCAAGGAGCAATTCCGCCCTCCTCTAATACTTATTCATCTATTTACTGATGCCTAAAAATCTATTTAAACCCGGAGGAAGCTTTTAATTCCACAATTAAAAGGCTGGAGGTTCTAGTTGAGATAGCATTTCAGTGCGAATGAGTTTTAATTAAAATTCAATCAGTCAGTCAATCATAAGTAAAAAGGATTAAACAATCTCAATTTTCCCAGTTGTCGGGGGTGGGGCGGGGGGAGGCCATGGGAAGGAGAGGTGGGGAGAACTCAGTGGAAGGGCCGGGGCAGAAGCTGGCCGTGTTGCCTGAAGTCTGCCCTGTGCTCTGGAGCCTCAGGGCCCCTGGCTCATGACCGTCCTTCCCTAGGCGCCAGCTTTCTTATTAGAGGAACTTCATCCCTGGGAGATATGGAAATCGAGGAAACAAAGTGTAGCTTAGGGACAAAAAAAAAAAAGCTAATACAATACTTTATTAAATAACATTAGTACTTTGCCTATGATACACCTGAGAGCCAACAACACTGTGGGAGTGTCCTGATACATGCAGGTAATTTCCACTCGCACTTGCCTTTTTCCCCTTTGAAACTTGTACACAGACAGCTTCAGGAGACATCTTGACTCTTCACGTCTGGGAACCTTGTAGCTTCGAAACTTCCGAGCACGTTCTGTGGCCTTAGGCTTCACGCCCACCTGCTCAGGGGTCCCGGATTCCGCTGCGATGAGTTTGCCTCCCGGCAAAACCAAAGCATTCCGTTTCATTGATCCAATTGATTTTCTTAGCAACCTCTAGCTGGTAGGTTCTAGGCTAGGTACTAAAAACACAAAAATGGAGGTGTCTGCAGACTTTTACAGGAGATAGCAATACAGAATTGTGCTCTCCTAGTGAGAGATGCATTATTAGTCCCCGAATGCCCAGTTCTGTGGGGGCGCAGGGCAGGCTGCACGGAGGAGGGACACGGACAGTGGATGGGGCCAGGGAACGTGCCTGAGAACGATGGTCCAGGCTGAGGACACCACGGGCAGAAGACAAATGAGACTGGCGATGCACAGGCTCTGGCCAGGCGCAGCCGTGTGGGCAGGAGGAGGTGTGCAGGCGTGCGACTGGGTCCGTGTGGGAAAAGGCCAGGCTCGGGGTGGCAGGGGGGACACTGGGGAGGGACAGGGCGGTGCCAGGACAGTGGTCGTCCTGCCAGAGTTCTCGCAGGAGGCCAGAGTTCGCGCAGGAGGCCAGAGTGCCCCACGGCTGGGGCCCGGGAATTCTGCTTCCAGGAACAGTTTCATTCCACACGTACGTGTCGAGATGTACACTCAGAGATGTTCGCTGCAGCCTCGTTTACAGCGGGAAAAGGCTGGAAACCACTGCTGGCTCCCAGTAGGAGACAGCTTTGCTACATCAACTCCCACGGCCGTTGGGTACTTTTTGGCCCTGAGATGAATGCAGGAGCTCTGTACGTGCTCATGAGGGACGGTCTCCAGGATACGTTGTTCCGGGAAGAGCAAGATGCAGAGCTGTGCGTGGAGAATGTCATCATTTAAAAAAAATGCCAGGAGGTACAGACAGACACACGCATGGTCTCACGCTCCCGAGAGGCACGGCCGTGTGCTGGGCGAGCGCACAGGCACCGGAAGGAGAGGCCTGAATTAACACGGGGGCCTTCCAGTTACCAGCTGTGTGTGTGCGCTTGGCCCGGTGCCTCGCCTTTAAGTGGGGAAAGTAATGAACACACTTCACAGAGTTGTGAGTATTTAAGTTGAGACAAGATTAAGTGCCTAGCATATTGCCTGGCACATAAGTGATTAATAAATGCCTTTTAATAATAATTCAATTATTATTTAATTATAGATATAAAACATTTCTGGAAGAATACCCTGGAATCTGTTAAGAAGAATTGCGTCCAGTGTGGAGGCCGGTGGTTTATTGTATACTACTATACTGTTTGAAGGAAAAAAATTAAAATCATTTCCATCTCTATTTAAATAGAAAAGCTATGGTTGAAGTCCAGGCAGGAGATGATGAGACCATGACCTTGGGCAGTGCTGGCAGCGGGGGTGGAGGTGAAGGTGAAGGGCCGCTCCCGGGAGCCGTTTCCAGCCGGCTTCAAGGGGCAGCACCGACTGCAGAATCGGTGGTTGCTCCGACCCTGAGTCAGGAAGTGCGGGCGGGGAGGGGGGCCTAGAGGAGGATGACAGTGGAGAGAGCGTCTTAGTTCTGAAAAATTAAATATTTTATGGCTGTGAAGCTCATCTGTCCTCCTAGATGAGAGGGAAGAACCCACCCTCCATTCCCCAGACACACCTGTGGCTTTCTGAATTGCAGCTGAGTTTTCTGATTTTCAGCTGCTTACCGGTTTCCCTAGCAACTGCTATTTTTTTTTAATCCTTATCCGAGAGCATGCTTATCAATTTTAGAGAGAGGGGAAAGGGGCGGGGGTGGGGAAACATTGAGGAGAGAGAGAGAGACATAGATCAGTTTCCTCTTGAACACACCCCGACTGGGAACCAAACCCACAACCCAGGCATATGCCCTGATGGGAATCGAACCCGTGAATCTACGGGATGATGCCCCAACCAAGTGAACCACACCAGCCAGGGCAGCAACTGCTTTTTGCTATATAGTAGTTTTTTTTTTTAAGTAGTAGAAATCAACTAAGTATAAAATGGGAATTTTCAAGGGTTTAATATATATTTCTTATTGCACATGGCTAAGAAGTTGTAATTAATGCCATTATTGGGTTATAATGACAGTCTTCTGGCCTCGACCTAATATTCTGTCATTCAGGTGAGACAGTGAGGGCACCCTCCACAGGTGTGGGTGAAACTGGGCTTTCTTTCTGCCCTTGCAGAAGTGATGGACTACAGCTGGTCTCCCCGGTCACGGCACGGGCAGCAGCTGTCACGCTGTGGGGTGGCCAGCTGAGGCCGTGTACAGTCTGGGATGGTGCCGGGGTGCGGGCGAGAGGGGTGGGGTGAGGCTGGGTCTGGGGTTGTGCGGGGTGAGGGCGGCAGCCTTCTCGTGGATCTTCCTGGAGAGCTAGAACTGCACTGTGATGCCTTAAGATGAGTTACTAGTGACATATCTGGAGTTCTTGATGGAACCCCGTCGAGTTGCTTTCAAACTGGGGTTCCAGTCCAGAGTTTCTGAATACATTTGGCAAACTCTGCCGTGTTGTTTGCAAGCAGGGGCTCTCCAGAGGCCGTCCGTGCCTGGAGCATTGACCTGCCGTGTCACGGAGGGTGACGGAGGAGCTCGGACCCCCATCCCAAGGAAGGGAACGTGCAGGCCAAGTTCAGCACAGGCTGTGCCTTCCCTGTGTTTCGAGGCCCCTTAGAGACATGCTTTGTGTTCCTGGAGACAGGACTGTCGCCGTTACCTGTTACTCACCGGCCTGGGTGAGAAGTTTGGATCTGGTGTTCCGTGTCTCATTACCAAGGATTCCGAACGAAGCACCTTGTGATGAAGTGTGTTTCTGATGAACTCCTGTCGGTGTCGGTGACGTCCTCATAAGGCACATTTACCCGTCAAGGGGTCCGTGCTGCGTTATAAATGCGCTACGGCCCAGTGACTCATCCAGGCTCCACTGGGGGAAAGGCAAGGTCCTCACTAATTTGCTTAATGGACCACTTTTATGGTAAAAACAGAAAACATCTTCCAGTAATTTTATTAATGCCAGATTAACTTTCTTGATTGTTTTTTCCTTGTCTTCAATGAACTCAAATATAAACCATATTAACTTTCTGGTGACCCAAATTAGTTGAAGCTCATTTTTTCTTAAATTTGTTTATGAACTGCCTTTTTTTTTTAAAAAAAAATGAAGTATGGATTTTCTTTTTTAGGGGACCTGTGACCTATCAAACTCTCTCTCCCCAGACCAAGTCCCTTCCCTCCCCTCCTCCCACCTGAGAATTGAAGTGGGGTCCCCAAATTGCGCAGGGTTACTCAGATGACAGCCCAGCCTCGCTCACCAGTGCCTGTCCCTCCCTGCCCTCCCGCATGGTGACATTTGACAAGACAACTTTCTCACAGTGCTTGCTGGGGACAGACACAGTGTCCCGCTCACAGTGTGACTGTTTGCTAGACGCAGCTCGTGCGTTTGGCACTCGTCACTAACACAGAGAGTCTCTGTCACCCGGACCTTTGATGGCTTCTAGCTGCTGTGGGCGTGGAGCCCCCGTGCGCCGGAGACTGAGCCGAGCGTGTCGTGGTTTGGGCACTGGCAGCACCAAGAAGTACAGAAACAGGGAAATCATATTTTAATTTTACAAACTAAACCGTCCAGGTCTGTGATAATTTTCCAAGCGTTCAAGTGGCTCCTGGAGCCGAAGCACCTGCTCCCCCGCAAGTCTGTCTGCTTCCTCTGGGCGGCGGCGGTCTGTTTCGTGTTTGGTTCGGGGCAGGGGAAGACGGGGCGCCACTCCCGGGTCTGTGTTTGATGGGCACCTGCTGGGGCGGAGGTGAGGGAGCTGCAGCCCCAGGGCCCGGCCAGCCCTGACGCCCCGTGTACCCCCCGCAGGCCCCTTCATCAGCGTGGTGCTGTCCAAGCTGGAGAACATGCTGGAGAACTCCCTGCACGTCAACCTGCTGCTCATCGGGATCATCACGCAGCTGGCCAGCTACCCCCAGCCGCTGCTGCGCTCCTTCCTGCTCAACACCAACATGGTCTTCCAGCCCAGCGTCCGCTCCCTCTACCAGGTGCGTGAGCGGCGCCTGCGCCCTCCTTCCCTGGGGACTGACTGCAGGGGTGCCCGTGAGCCGGGGGGCTCCTCCTCTGCTTCCCCAGGTACTCTGTTGTTTTCAAAAACCCCTCTAACTCATTTGCTCTCCTTTCTCATCCCATGTCGCTAGTTGTGTGTGGATTACTCTAGACAAACTGCAAAGCTTCATTTAGTTTGATGTTTCGAGGGTGCCCTAGCAAAACACCCCGCCAGTTAAAAATGAGCGAATGCCTCATCTGACAGTCCCTGCAAGCGGGGCTGTCCCTGAAAGATACACTGGTAGCTGAAGGTGGGATTCTGCTCCAAGCACTCACATCATTAATGTTGTTTCTGACAGGTCCTCGCGTCTGTGAAAAACAAGATTGAACAGTTGGCATCTGTGGAGAGAGACTTCCCGGGACTCCTCATACAAGCCCAGAAATACCTGCTCTTCCGCGTGGACGTGTCCGATGAGACACCGGAGTCACTCACCAAAGGTGAGCCTTGTAGGGGTGCAGGGGTTTCTCCCCTGCACGTCTCCCCACCTGCCTCCTGGCTTGGGTTCAAAGACGCTGCATGGGCTCCTGGGCTCTGAAAGTATCTAAATATTCAGTGTCTTCTCAACCCCACAGCGAGGAGCCTCCTGTGGGTGTGCACAGGCCTCAGGAAGGTGTGCCCTGCCCTGCCCGGCCTGCCCTCACTTGGAGGGTCTGGCGGCCACTGTTGTCCCGAGAGTGTCCGGGACGGAGTGACGGGTGCATGGCTGCCAGGCTGGAAGAAAGGACTGGGCACCCGTGGGTCACAAGGAGGCGTTCTGTGCACAGCCTGAGCCATTTCCGGGCCAGCTCTGCCCTGAGGAAGGTGTCCGTTCTCTTCCTCACGTTTTTAGACTCTTGGGCCCAAAATACACGTGCTTTAGGGTTCGAGAAAGTAAGACCTGCTCGTTGGGACTGGGAGAAGTGAAGCGTGTGCTCAGCTTAAAATTCCTGGGAGACTTTTCATGAACGCAGGAGGTGTTTGCCTGGGCCTGGTGAGGTGCGGGGGTGGGGGGGTGGGGGGGGGAGGGTGCTCAGCAGGGGAGCTGAGAACGGTCCTGTGGGGCAGGGGAGGGGAGGGGAGGGCCTGGGTAGGGGAGGGTGCACAGTGTTGCTTGGCTTCGTTTAAGCTCAGCGTGGACAGAGTGAATGGCCACTTGTCCTCTGAGCTATGGCTCTGGCCTTGGTGAGTGCAAACCAGGAAGTGCCCTCTGCTACACCAGTGTTTGCGCATCTCAAGGCCAGTGAGGCTTCTTTGGGGCAGGTGACCACTGGTAAGAGTGGGGCTCTCAGTGCTGAGCCGAAGGCATGGGATAGCAACCGGCTTGAGAGCCTGCAATGTAACCCGGGTCAATGGTTACCCCCTTAAAGGAAGCTGAAGAGGCCCCAAGACTCATAAGGCTTGACCTTGCCTTTGTGTAGCTGTTTGTTCTTAGTCACTTTGCCTCATGGGGCCTCAGGTGCCTTGACTCTTAAATGAAGGATTTGTTTTCCACCCCTGAAGTCCTCTCTGGCCGTAGGACTCTGGGTGTGAAGACCCTCTGGGGCACTGCAGGGCAGATTCTGCAGGCAAGGTGGGCCTTGTAGGGGTGCCTGGGGGCGGGGCATGGTGCTTCCAGCCGGGGCCCTGGAGGAGAGCAGGCCAGGCCGTTCATGGAGGCCGGGAACCCTGCATCTCTACAGGAAGGGGGACTGCAGGCCCACGTGGCTCCTCTAGCCACCCGGACAGTGGGTATGTGAGCTGTGCTTCTCCTGAACAGGGGGCGTGTCCTCCTCTGTGCACGACAGACCACTGCGCCGGCGGGGGCATAGAAACAGCCACTGGTGAGGACTCGGGAGTCTGTGGCTGCCTGGGTGTTCTGATCTGGGCCGGGCTCGGCTGATTTTGGCTCGTGTATTGCTCTTAGCCGGTGGCTGGGTGCCTGGGATGGCCCCAGTCATATCAGTGGCTGCTGGGTAGGGTGACAGGTGATGGGGGGCTGGGTTTCTCCCCATCCAGTGGGTTAACGCTGCTTGTCGACACCATGGCCACAGGTTGCAGAGTGAGAGCAGGAACATACAAAATCTTTGGAGGCCCTGCAATTCTGCTGCCTTCTGTGGATGAAAGCAAGTCCCTGGGCCTGCCCAGGTTCGAGAAAGCAGCAAAACCCCCACATCTTGCGGGGAAAAGCTGCAAAGAATTAGGGCCATTTTTGCAGTTCACCAGGTGGGAGGTGACGTCAGTTTTTTTACATTGCACCCCCGGCTTGGTCTTCACTTGTACTTTACAATTTGTAAAGTGCTTTCCCAGACTGTCGAATTTTATTTTGAAACAGCCTGGCACAATGGGCAGGGAAGATACTGTTAGGTTCATTTTCATATCAGGAAGCCGACATCAGGGGCCCAGAGTGGTTAGGTGAGGCCACGCAGCCCAGGTGCCTGAGACTGTCTTGCCTGGTCACAGGGCCCAGCCCTCACTGACTTCAGGGGTTTTCCTTGAGGAGAGGTCCCAGTTCCGGGGAGGGTGGCAGGGTCACTGCCTGCCTGACGGCCTGGCTTCCAGGCGGGGTCCCAGCGGGGGCTCGTTCCCACCACGGAGGTTGTCAGGTCAGCCACCTGCGGCTGATGCTCCTGAGGGCCTGTGGCGCTCTGGGGACCTGGACTTGCAGGGCTTCTCTCGGGCCAGACGACTTTCCTCGCATGGACTCTTTCCACATCTGCTTCCTAACTTCCGTCAGGTTAGCAGAGTGACTCCCTCCCCTCCACCTGAAAAACATCCGGACTCACAGGAGAGAGCAAGTCCTGTGCCCTTGTGGCTCCTGAGGCCCTGGGTGAGAGGTGACTGCTGATAAACGAGCCGAATCCAGAAGCTCCATTCTCTCAGGGACACAGAACAATTTTTTTTTGACTAATTTTTTAAAGGGTGTACACTGAAATGTCCCCCTTTCAAAAAAAGATTTTATTTATTTATTTTCAGAGAGGGAAGGGAGGGAGATAGAGAGAAAGAGAGAGAAACATCAATGTGCAGTTGCTGTGGGCCATGGCCTGCAACCCAGGCATGTGCCCTGACTGGGAATTGAACCTGCGATGCTTTGGTTCATAGCCCATGCTCAATCCACTGAGCTACGCCAGCCAGGGCTTCACAGAACAATTTATACTTAAGAATCCTGGTGAAAGGCCAACGGTTGGGGTTTCTAGCATCTGTGTGCTCTGGGCCTTGTCTAGCACTGCTGACAGGGAGAGGAGCGTGTAATGATGTCTGTCCTACCTTCTGTAATCTTTCCAGCGTCAGTCTGGAAAATGCTGTTGCAGCTTTTCAGACCCTGGGCAGCATTTCAAAAAAGCACCTGGACATGGATTTGTACTCCCCTCCCCCCTGGCCCCCTGAAAAGGTGCTTACGTGCACCGGGCCCCGGGTGGGGGGCGTGGTGAGGCGCCCGCAGCCAGAGCCGCCTCACTCACTCTGCGACAGAAGCAGGAATCTGCGTGACCGCCGCTCCAGAGCTGGTGGACTTCCTGTGCCAGCGGTCCTGTCGTCACATTGTCTCGGAGGCTGAACCACTGGCCAGGCTGTTCATTTCCCCTCAAACACTTTCTGGATCCCAGAGGTTGTGTCTACTTGTATTTCCGAGTCCCTCCCCTGCTCTGCAGTGCTGGGAGGGAGGTGAGGTAGTGTTAGTCCCGTTTTACAGAAAAGGAAACTGAGACGCTGTACGTAGAGCTGGTTGCCACGCAGCGACCACGACTTCGGTTTTCTTGCTTTCGAGCTGAGCGTGCCGCCCGGTGGGCTCTGGGACAGGCCGGAAGGCCAGGCCGGTGCCCGCAGGACAGACCTCCGCGAGGGCTTCCCCGTGGGCCTCGCCACCCTCCCGGCCGCTCTGCCACCTTCCCCAGTGAGGATGGTTTGAATCTCAGATTCGAGCTGAGCTTTAGCGACGGCACTTCTTAAATTCATAGGTCAGGCCAGATAAATGAGCCACAAAAACCCTTTTTGGGGAAAATGAGGAGTGACTTTGAAACAGAAAGATGGAGCTAAGGCATATGAACCAGCTCCAGATCGGGTGACGGGAAGACCTGGCGCCGGTCAGTTTCTTCTCTCATTCATTCAGCAAATGTTTGCTAGCTTCTACCACAGGCAAGGAAGTGTGTTGGGGCCGTGACGGACACATGGTGTAGGGCTCAGCTCTCAGAAGTCTCAGTCGAGTAGAGGGGGAGAAGCGTAAACAGCAGCACCGGCCAAAGGGCAATGCCGGCGTTGGCTGGGAAATCAGATGAGCTGGGAGGCTGAACAGGGCGTTCCCCCTTGGGGCAGGGATATGAAGTCAGTGGCAGCTGAACTGTGGCATGTGGCTGCCACTCATCAAGATGTTCCTGTGCGTGTTGTACCTGCCGACACATTTAATCCTTACGGCGACTCTGAGAGCGTTTCACAGATGAGGACATTAAAGGACAGAGAAGGAAAGCAACTCGCCCGATCCTACTCAGCCAGTAAGTGGCATAACCTGGACTTAGCCACTGCCCTGGCGTCTCTCAGCTGGTAGGGTGTGGGTGGGCAGAGGTGTGGGTAGGCAGAGACGTGAGGGACCAGCATGAACAGAGCAGGTCTCAGTCTGGCATTAGTGCCCACACGCCCCGTTCCCCTCGGGGATCCGGGACAGCTTCCTTCGTGAGCTTCGAGGGACCCTCTGGAGAAAGGCCGCGATGGAGGGCGGGGTGGGGGGTGGATGCACCTCAGTGATGCCGACACTTTGGTCCTCGCCCTGATGTCAGGGCAGGTGTGGGTCCCTGCTGGAAGGTAGCCGCAGACAGATTCTCACCAACTTTTCCAGTTCTTTATGGCACGAACTGTGATGAGCTTTCATCTAAAAGGATATTTAAAGCAGTCAAGTGAAGGTTTTTTTTTTTAACACTAAAGCTATAGTAGTGAGATATGGAAAGTATTATAAATGTCAAGAATTTTTAGTACTGTAGTTAAGCGACACTCTGAGAAGAGTGTTAAAAGATGGGACTGAATTCTGAAAAGCAGCCAAAATAATGAAGAGTTCGAATATAATGATTTATGAGGAGGAATAAGGCTGTTGGAGTAGGGGCAGGAGAAGGCATAAATAATTCCTATACGTACACAGAGGCTGGAGATGTTCAGGAATTCAGTAGTCTGGAAAGTTGAACCATTTTAATTAGTGAATCTGCTTTGATATGAAAACGCAAACTGCCTGAACGTGGCCAAGTCTGGGCTGACAGCGTCTCAGACCCACGTGACTGAAACTAACACTGCAGCCCCTGGAGACCTTCTCTACAGGGGGCCCCGAGCCGCCTGCTGCCTCTGGATGCCCACCGTTTTGGGAGGAGCCCAGTCGGGTCTGACCAGCGCCCAGCTCCCTCTCCATTATTCCCAGCCTTGAAGTGGCTTCTTCCATTCTGTTCCCCACCAAAGGCTGGCGGTCCCGGCCGGAATGGGCTGGGGGGTCACCACGGAGCCCTCGAGGCCGGAGCACGAGCTGCAGAGAGCTCGGAGTGGCGTGCGGGACCCAGCCTCCTCCTGCGGCAGTGCCGTGTGATCAGGGCTCTGCTGGCCCAGGTCGGGGGCAGTCCCCTGACACCAGGGGGTCAGGAGATGCCTTTTTCGGTGTTTCCCTTGCCACGTCCTGGGCGCGGAGGTTCCTGAGAAACCCCCCTTCTCATCACAGTTTCTGCACCAGCTTCCTTCTGCAGGCTTTGGGATGCAAGTCTCATATTGCGTGCCTGGTGCTGCAGGTCACCTGCTGGGCAAAGTCTGTGTGCCACCGAGCGGGCGAACGTGTGTCTCCGCCCTCCCCCTTCCCTCACACACACACACTTGGGAGGGTGATGGGCAGGGCGGCGGAGGGCCCCCATGACCGTCTGCTTTCTGGTTTCAGATCCCATTCAGGATGCCTCCAGGACAGGGACTGGCAAGAGCCTTCTGGATGGTCCGCCCAGAGTGCTTCAGCCCTTCCTGGCCACCAGAGCCAAGGCGGCCGGGGTGCCCCCGAGCCTGCCCCTACCGGTGAGGAACGCCATGCTGGCTGCTGCCCTCTTCCCGGAGTTCCTGAAGGAGCTGGCCGCCCTGGCCCAAGAACACTCTATCCTCTGCTACCAGATCCTGGGCGACTTTGAGGACTCCTATTGTTAGCATTTTTGTGTTTAAATAGAGGTACTTTTTTTTTAAGGTTTAGTGTCTTGACTGAATGTTAAATGTGAAGCTGCTTACAAAAACTTCTACTTTGATATTTCCTGACAATACTTGATTTTTGGGGAGGGGGGTTTTCTCTGTACCTCCTCTCTCTCTAGCCGGGTCTTCCCGCCCTGCGGTATGTAGACCGTAAGTCTCGTAAGCCGGTTGCTCCTTTGGCGGGTTTTCTCTGCTCCGTCTTTCCTCCTCAAATTTTGGGTGGTTATTCTCCCATCCCTTTGAGTCAACTCATGTTGCTGCGTAGATCAAACCCAGCAAACATGAGGGGGGGGGTTCAGTGATTTCTGGAAGCACCCCGTGTCAGACGGTCGGCTCTTCAGTGAAGAGCACGTGAAGAAAGCATGTCCGTCCCTGCTGCCTCCTGCTTCCGTTTTGTAAAAGGGAAGAGTCTCGAAGGAGCTTCCGCTGCCTCCATCACGTAAGGGCGTATCATGTGACCCTTCGCATTTTACACCCAGGACTCACGTTCTGCCCAACATGCATTGCCTTACGGTGCAGGCACATGTGCTGGTCTCGGCGGTGCGCCTGGGAAGTCAGATGTGGTTGGAGAGAACGTGCAATGCCGGGAAATTGTCTTGTTGCTGGAGAGCTGGCTTTACTCGGTGGAGCACTACCTAAACACTGAAAGTAGCCTTATTTTCCTAAGATTTGCACAAAATGAAACATACCTATGCAAGCTGTTTCTTTGGTGTTTAGGAGACTGCTTGGAAGAAAGCATGCTATCTATAAGATGGGCATCATTATTTCTCAAGTGCTGTACGAAAAACATTGATTTGTGAAGCTGTTTCATAGAGTAGTTCTGTGTGTATGTGGTGGTGGGAGAATACGGAGGGGAAAGGATAAAGGTAAACTAAACGCAGCCTCGAAAATCACTGGTGATCAGTTTAAATTTTGTTTGCTTTTCCTAACGAGTTGCACTTTGTAGAGGAGCAGGAACTGGACGGCCAGGCTGGGAACTGGGATGTACATGCAAACGGGTCGCAGGGAGCCCTGCAAAGCCAAGTAGTGCCTGCTGGTGACGGGCTCCACACAGAGCCGCCACCGCTTTCGCCTCCCGAGCGATGGGCTTGGGGAGAAGGCCCCGGGGTGATGCGCTAGTGCCTCTCTGCTGCTTTTCAGCCCAGCCGCTCCAGTTACACGCAGAGCCCCAGTCTCCTAAGCCTCTGCCAAGGGGGGAGACACGAAATAACTGTGGGCTGAAAAGGAGACTGTAGACAACTGGTGTTTATGGGTAGTCAGTTCTACCCCCCTCTGCTTTGGGCAGGTGAGAAGCACCTACAAGGATGAACCTCCTTGTTCAGAGGGAAGTTTGAAGTCCCAGTGGCGGCGGCCGGGGTGGGGGTGGTGGTAGGGGAGAGGGGTGGGCAGCCACCGGTCTGGTGGTGTGTCTCCGGAGGCCTGGTTTCATTTTAATCAGCCTCTAGTACAGGAGGCGGGTGGAGGACACAATGACATCTGAGACTCTGCAGAGCAGAGGCTGCCCTGCACTGCTCAGGGGCCTCGAAGCAGCTTTGCATTGAAAGTGCGCAGCAGCCCGTGGAGTGACGACCCTGGGGAGATCTGGCTTAGGCTGGGTGGCTCTTAGGGGCCAGTCTCGCAGTGTTTCTAAGTCTAAGCAAGAAACCAAAGATGCCAATTTATTGTATGTTTCTGAGTCCAAGTTTGTTTGCCTGGAGGAGTGGTTTGCCGGCTGTGCTGCAGCAGTCAGAGTGCACGCGGCCCTGCAGATTGGCCTGTCCCAGGCTCCCTGGCGCCCTCCTGTATCTGTGTGACCGCCAAGTCTCTGCTGGGAAAGAAGGTGGCATGAGGGAGGGAGGGGGGAGAGAGGGACGGAGAGACGGAGTTTAAGCTGTGAGTTGTTACTGTCCTCTCCCTTTGTTTTGCACAAGTATTTATCCTCCAGTTTGGACTTACCAGGTATAGGGGATGCTCAAGTTGCATCTGGAAACTGTATTATTTAAGCTTTTAGGTTTGATTTACACTTCTCTCCATTATCTGGTGATAGTGTCGATTCTTTCTCAGGAGTCAATGTTGCTTTGTTATAGAATGCCACAGACCCCTTTGCAGAATGTGCCCTTTGGGAAAGGGATTGATCTTGTGCCTCTTAGTATTTTTTAAAATTAGGTACTGAATAGACTGCCCTTCCAGGAGACAGAGATGACCAGGGTCTGGGATGAGGCAGGAAGAGGAACTCCAGTGCTGGGGTGCTGGCAGCAAGCTCCCATGGACACCCCTCTGCACCTGGACACTGGTCTGCTACAGCCCTCCCCTAGGGCACTGTGTCCAGGGCTTTTCTACGTGCATTCAGAAAGTCGCCCTGGAAGTACGTAACAGAAAACCGGAAGACCCACGTGGCTGAGGGGAGCCGCCAGGTGGGTCAGGTGAGGGTGGTCCGGGCAAGGTGCGGACGAGCCAGGGGGAAAGCAGCAGAACTCCGAGGCTATAAACAGGAGCAGCGCAAGTCCTGGGGGTTTGAGGAGCGAACACTGTCCAGGTAGATAGGAAGACACTGCACAGCAGGTGGGTGATGGGGCTGGGGGGACTCCTGGGTGGGAGAAAACCCTGGTAACGGAGTAGAATACTCACCGTGCAGTGGGTACGGCCCTTAGAAATATCTTTTCTGTAATGAGTTTGGGAAAAAAAATTTAAAGATACCCGGCATGCTCTAAGATGTGGCCCAAGAGCAGAGACACCTCTCCTCGGGGTCAGGCTCGCAGGTCAAACGCTGTGCTCCTGGCGGCAGACAGCAGGCGGGGTCTTCGGTGCAGCCCCGGGGTCGGCGTCTCCGTGTCGAGCCCGGTGGTCCCGGGCGGTGGGGGCGAGTCAGGGGTTCCTGGAACGTCGCATTAACCTCAATTCATAATTCAGGGTCTGAGATTAAGTTTGGATGGAGAGAATTTTGTGGTATAAAGTATATGAGAGCACTGGGATATTTAAAATTGATTTTTGGAAATGGTCTTAAGTCTTTAAACAAAGAATTTCAGGTTTAGTCTAAAATATCATTTCAGGAGTATAAATTTCTCAGCCATGACTTGGGGATGCCGGAGTTACCAATCAGAGGTGAGATTTTCTTTATCAGTGGATGCTTTCTTTTTCTGGCATTTAGAGGAATTATGAAATTGTCCCCATTTTTCTTAGTATCCCAGGGGCGGGCGAATGTGGGTTTACAGTTCTAATTACAACAAATACTACTACAAGGGAAAAAAAACCTGTTTCATGCACTCAACTGTAAACCTACTTCTGCCCGCTCCTGTTCTGGAAACCACTTTGATGTTCTGGGCTGGGAATTCACGTCTCTGTCACCTGCACGGAGGATGCGTTCGGTTCGTTCACAGGGCCTCTGGCGTCCCTCTTCCTTAGCAAGCGGCTTTCATTTCGGTCAGGTGGAGCTGTCTGGGGAGCCCCCTGTTAGCAGTAGACTCTGGAAACGGTTCGTGACTGTTCGGTTGCCTGTTGGATTGGGCCCACCTGTGGTGCTGAGGCTGAAATCTGCGGTGGGCGTCTCTGCATCAGCTCAGCGGTGGCAGGCAGGCGGGCGGGTTTCCAGCTCCGTGTGGAGGTTAGGGGGTGCATCCTGGGTCTGTGCAGGTGTGTCCAGGTCGCCTTCCCCAGGGAAGTGCTGCCCCAGCAGCAGGGGGACGTGTCATGGGGGTGACATTAAATATCCACAGCATCCTCCCCGGTTCTCACTGAAGGGCAGTTCCATTTAATTGCTAATTACCAGCGAGCCCTTATTTACTGAAATGACCCCCATGCTTGCTACTTTTATGGAACAGCTTAGTGCAGGGCAGCTGTTCCTGCACGTGCCCCTTCAAGCCAGGGCCCAGGCCGACGTGATCCGCGGCTGGTGGCCAAGCCCGGCCAGCTCTGCAGGGTCTGTCGGCCCTTCCCGGGGACAGCGGTCCCCTGCTGGCCGAGGCCGCAGCAGCTCGGAGTCATTAGGATGACGCTCCCAGGCCCCTTCGCGCCTCCGCCGGCAGTCTATAAATCACACAGCACTAACTCTCCGTCGGATAACAGCTGAAAACAGAACACTGTCAAGTCGGTTTATGCTCCATTCTTAAATCACATTGAGGAAATACTGAAAGAAAATGGGGGAGACGCCTCCTTTCTGTCTGAATGACCCTCATAAACCTAATGCTTTTTTAAGGAAGAGCTCTTGGAAGATGAAGAGTCGTTCTCAGGATAATTTTGCCTCAGTAAATCCTCGCTCCGTCCAAGCATTTATTAGGCCATTACTTGTTTTGAGGACAGATTACCCAGGCAGCTCATTAACTGGCTAAACGGGGCTTTATGAAGGGTTTTCGGTGAGGTTCTGTAGGGGAACGCAAGGGCAGGGTCGGGAGGAAGCCCTCGGCTCTTTTGGCCCCTGCACCTGAGAGTCCCAAATGCATAAGGACTTCAGGTGGCGCTGACCCTTCCTGCCCCCTTGGGTTGTTGCGCATCTTCTTCCTGTTTACACGTGAGCAGACCGCATGCACCGTCACCCACACGCGTAGCCAGGCTGCAGCAGGTTCTGTCTGCAAGGGTTCGGTGCGCATTTCAGGCACCTGTCGGGGGAGCTTGGATTGACTGTGTCGTTTCAGATCTGACAAGAGTGACAGAAGCTCTCAGGCCAGACTGCCCACTCTGTGGTGCGGAGGCCGCAGGAGTCTGTGCTTCTCAGCAGAGCAGCTGACTTTTAATTGGGACAGGCCTACAGAAGGCCCTCCTAGAACGAGGCCCCTTTTTGCTCTGGGGACATTTTAAAAGAGGGAATTCGGTGCGGACCATCTTACTTAATTGATTTTTGCTAAGTTGTTTGACTAAGGGAAGCAGCCGGTGACGATTTCAATCCGACGCCTCCCCTCTCACAGTCAGGGGTCGGCTCACTCGAGTGGGCGCCCGCGAGTGCCCGGGTCTGGAAGCTGCTGAGGCAGCGCGGCAGCCCCTCACACTGCTCCTGGCAGTGGGCGCACAGCACGGCCCTTCGGAGAGAGTGAGTGGTTCCCCCTCAACAGTCACTCTGGAGTATCTGTGAACTGACGCTGCCGAGTTCAGTAGCAATGAAAACGAGAATATAAACTGTGGGTCACGGCCGCAAGCCAGACCTTCCGTTGCCCGGCTTGCTCAGAGCTCGAGGAGGATGCGTGCGTCCATCAGCTGCTTCCCAGCTGCTTCCAGACTAGTGGCCACCACAGAAAAGAAGAGGGGGGGGAACGTGGGGCTCAGCTAAAACACCCCTGACTTGGTAAAAATAATGATCAAAGTTCTTTTTCCCGGGCCATCTTCCCCTTGATAGGCAGAAGTTCGCCCTCATGCCTAAGCCAGGACGTGGTCAAGAAGCTCCTTCTTAGACAGAGATATCCAGGGTTTACAAGCCTAGTAGGTCAGCAGCACCAACCTCTCATGCAAAGGGGCCCCACGAAGGGCTGTCCGTTTAGTGTTATGCATCTCATGACCTTTTCCTAAATACCTCTTCGGTGCCAGGTGGCATGCTGAGTCCCGAGGCCTAGACTCCCACCCTCCCACCATAACCGGCCAGCCCACCAAGCACTCCCCTCAGGCACCAGGACGCACGGTTTGGACCTGAGCAGGCAGAGCAGATTCTGCCTGGCCTGGGGCCCAGCCAGTTTCCTAGCGCATTCCCCTCCCTGCTTACAGGTGTGTGGGTTCCAATGACAGATGGCAATGGCTTCACCTGTGGTGCCAACTCATACATTTTAATGAGATGTGCCCCTGAACAGCAAACAAAGAACCAGACCAAATTCACACTCATTCAAGAAAGCAAAATCATATTCCACAGAGGCCCACTTATGAGCAGAGCCACACTTGAGTCTCTTAGGGCACAATGTGAACATATCTTTCAAATATCTAGTCAGGTTCCAAGTAAGATAGCTGAGCTGCGATTTGATTGGTTTTCTTACGAGCTGTTGTAACTACACAGCAGTTCGATGTTCAGGATTTCAGGACCACAGGCTTGTGGTGAGAGCTGGGTGACAATCAGCATGGTAAACGCCAAGTGATTTCATGGTGGCGTGTTTCTCTGGAAAAGGTCAGTTGGCAATACAGTTCACACCTGACACAACAGTTTTGGTAAGCCCTCTCCCCTGGCTGCCCCTCACCCCACTTGGGTAAGCCCCGATTGAAAACGGCCTGGAAAGATCCTCTAGTGCTTTCCGTACTGTCTGATGCAGCAGCGGCCAGGCTGGCAAAGCAGTGGTCCCACCAGTGCCGACCTGGCACTGCGTCTGCCCGTTTGGACTTCAGAGGAGTGTGGGGCGAGGAGAGAGAAGGGGCTCTGCCTCTCACTCTCGAAAAGAGGTGTAATGAAAATACTTCGCGTCAGGCCCAGCAGTTGTCAGAAAAGTGACAGAGTGTGGGGGGGCACAAGGCTTCCTGGCTGAGGTGACACATTCCCGCCTGACTCTGCATCAGTAAGGGGGGAGGACTCATCACTCCAGTCAGGGGTCCTGAGCATGCGCCGTGGCCACTGCCCGCCCGGCAGCGATGGGCGAAGGTCCGCTTGCTTCTCCAGCTGCCGCGGGGGCGCCGCTCCTGATGGAGTTGCTTCCCCTCTTCCTAGTGGGCTGAAGGAGTCAGCGTAAAATCAGGGCTTTCCAACATTTTGCTCTTACTCATGTCAGAATTTGGCCAGTGCTTTTAAAAAACACCATTTGCGAAATGGCCTCTGTGCGCTGCAAGACAGAGGTGACAAAGCATCGTGCGAACAAGGGGGTGTCCAGCGCGATGGGAGAGCCGTGTCCGCCGAGCAGGCGGCCGGCCGCCGCGGAGACACTGCTAACTGCACCACGATTACTGTTAAAGGTCAGGACTGTGATACGCCAGTTCATGATCCTATTCTTTCCGGGCAAAACAAACCCATCTCATGTTACAGCTTATTTTTCTTTTTATCTCTTTTTGGCCTGAGGGTGGGGGAAGGGGGATTGTCAGCTGCACAATCTTTGAAGTGTAAGTTAATTTTTTATGTGATATTTCAGTATATATTTTATTCATTAAATTTATTTGAAAACGTCTGTGGTCTATTTTACCAAAAATGTCTTTATTCTCAGAGCACTGCCTTCCGGAGTCCCTAGGGAGTTGAACGGGCACCATCACCTGTACTTGGGGGTGGGTGAACAGCACTACCACCTAATACGAGACCCATCTCCTCCTTCCCTGCCCTCAGGAGACCTCGCTGAACAAACGTTCTGTTCACGCCGCCAGTGGATTTACTCTGTTGTCTTCCTCTCCATCAACCTATTTTTAGGACTAAAAATACTGCAGAATGAATTTTTCTTAGAAAGGTAACAGCATTTGAAACAGTGCATTTCCTCTAGTTCAGAATTATGAAGCACCAGAACGTGCTATTTCTTAACGGCAGTTGCAGCGAAGATGGAGCGGTTCTGACGCCAATGACGCAGAGGGGGCGAGGCGGCTGCTGTGTGGAGGCGGCACCCAAGGCACAGGTCAGGTGCGGCCCCTGCTCTGCCTGGCCCAGGGCCGGGGAGCTGCAGGCTCTCGGACATCGGGTTTCAAAGCTCTGCCCTGTGTCACGGCTGCACTGCCTCCCTTAGGGGGGCCTGGACTAGCTCACGAGGACAGCTTCTTCTCCAGCATCTCTTTGATCACAGCCGGCTCCGCTCGGCTGAGAGTCGCTTTTCGGACCAGCCCGATCAGTTTATTGATAGCTCTGGGGTTTCCCTTCTTCACATCCATCACCTTACAAGACAGAAATTGTGTTAGAGGAGAAAAACAGAGACTCTTAACTAAACATCCTCAATTAAGGTTTGTACTTAGTGAAATTTAAAGTGTTTCTTCTTTTCTTTCAGTGTTAGATACAGAATGATAAAAGGAAAAGGGGGCGGTGAACTTCTGGGGTGGTTTCCACGCTCCCATCAGAGGAGAGACTGCTACCCTGCCTTCCCACGAACAGGGACCAGAGGACTGTGTGTGTGTCCCCAGTGACTGCCCACGGAACCACTGGTCTAGACCCACCAGTGAGGAGCCGCTCGCAGCCTCCAGTGGAGGTCAGCAGGCCCTGAAATGCTGGATTTCCTTCTCCCCCCAAGGATGAATCTCCCGGTTATTAGAAAACAAATCCATAGACTTGACAACTCTCCCAGAGCATTTGGATGGGGGAGGCGTGCTCTGTGGGGGCAGGTCAGGACAACAAGGCAGGCGCTGACCGCCACCGCTCTGCAGCATCGAGATCAGCAGGAACACCTGCGAGTATCTGCACTCAGAGCCGCAGAAGTGTGTCTGTATGGGTCACTGTGGCTGAGGCAGGAGGACAGGCGGCCGAGACCCAGTGCAGGCGCATCTTCCTGATCGAGAGCGCCCCCCGGGTCTGCTAGTGTCCCGGCAAGTTGATGGAAGAGGTGCAACAACTTCCCCCACCCCCGACAGTGTCTCTGGACAGCGTGATTAGACTTCGGGAGGGAGGCGTGCTGCTCGGTGCAGCTTTTCTATTTGGTTCTACGCTCAGAACACAGGGATGACTGGGTTTGTAGCTATGCTCCTATTACGGCTTTTCTCTGTAATTTACAAATAATTCTCCTTCTGCTTTTCTTCCCACCTCTTAAAGGCATGAAGCTGAGGTGTCTCCCTACCTGAACTCCCGATCGGCAGTCAGGCCTGCTTGGTTTTACTGAGAGGGCCCCTCCCAGAGCAGAGCCAGCCCCCACCCACTCAGGGCACCACCCTGGGAGGGGCGGCAGCCCGGGGACTCGGCTCCAGTGAGTCGGAGAAACACCCTTTAAACCCAAATTCCATGCGATTCAGCTGCAGGGGAGGATTTTCCTTTTCCTTGGGGAAAGCTCTATTTTTGTAATATTCACCTAATTTCATCTCTTGACCTTAGGTAAAAACTGACAAAGAGTGAATTATTGCTGAAACTGGGTCAGCCATTATTAGGCAGCGCCCCTGGGCTGCTACAGGGAGCTGAGGACAGACTCTCGGCCACGTCCTCAGGCTGACCCCCGCTGGCCAGCAGGGGGCCCTCGCCCGGCTGCACGTGGAGACCCTCTGCACCCCACGGCGGGAATTACCACTTGGGGATGTTCCTCCAGCGTGGCCTGGCAGAGCTGTTCCAGGGTCTCTTGGTCCTGCATTAGTTCAAGCTTCTTTTCTGAGATGATCTGTGCCGGCATCTTCCCTTCACTCGCCCACAGCTCCTTGAACACCTGTGGGCCAGAGGCGGGGGAGAGGGGCAGAGCAGAGTCAGCGGGCGGATCCCACGGGTCCCGGCTGCCCGGGCTTGGCCCACAGGGGCCAGTCTCTCCTGAAGCCTCCGGGGACGCAGCCTCTCTGCAGGGCACGTGCACACACACCCGGAGTCTCCCCAGGCTGACCTGCTCCCCTAGAGCGGAGCAGGAGGCCTCACCGCAGACCGGGCCTTCCTGCTGGCCGGCTCCCACCACGCAGCAGGGAGGGGCGGTGGGCGGTATGGGGTGGCAGGGCGGTGCGGGGCAATCTCTCCCAGGGCTCCTGCTGGCAGGGGTCAGAGGGGGGGCCCAGCTCTGTCTCGTGTCCCCTGAATTCAGTGGCTGAAGTGACATTCTGGTGAGGGATGGGTCCCACAGGCTGTAGGAGGTAACCACGCACCTAGACAAGGTCCAGAAAACCCAGCCTGCTGGGGAACCTGAATTCGGCGGAGTGAGGAAGTGGCCCCATAATGAAGATACAAAATGGAAAATAACTGAAAACATGAATCAGAATCCACAGGGACTGGCCTGTCACGTTTACCCCCTGCAGGTGGAGCTGGCCCCAGTTCTGGCTAGCATGATCAACAGCTCATGGTGTACTTTTTCTACTTAAAAAATAGTAACAGTAACACATACCAAACTTATTAAAGTTGGAAAAAAATATTTTTAAAGAAGGCAGTTCCTAGAGTAGCTTTCCTCCTTCCTCTTATTTATCTGGAGGAAGCTGGAACGGGGTGGTGTCCCCTTCGTCTGCTGTGGCGCCTCCTGCTGCGTGGCCTGGGGTCCTCTCCGAGCACCCAATGGCCTGAGACCATTCTGGCCGAGGGCCGGCCGGCCAGCCATCCCTCCCTCCCAGAGGAATGGCTGGTCGGTAGCCGACAAACAGGACTCCTGGCCAAGTGGCAGCGTGGGTAAAAGCTGCGCTCGCCGCCTCCCACATCAGTGTGACGACCCGATTACAGAACCGCCATCACTGAGAACTGCCTGGAGACCAGCTGAACGAAGTCCTAGGAAGAGGAAGCCACACTGAGAATGGTGGGAGGGGCGGAGGCACAGAATGAACAGGTCCCATGTCCGTGGTGTGGAGATTAAGAGTCAGGAGGAATAGCTCAGCTGTGGGGTCCCCCCTGAGGAGCCAGGGTTCCCCAGCCCAGGGTACTAGCGCCAAGAAGAGGCATCCCCATAACACCTGGCTGTGAGAAACCAGCAGGGACTGCACCGGAGTGAGACGGAGTGCTGCTGGAGACCAAGGCGGTCCTCCAGGGGCCCGGGCACAGCCCTGCTTGCTCACGAACTCACTCGCTCCGGGGTCCAGCACAGCGGTGGCAGCAGGAAAAGCACCAGGGACGTACGGTGAGGAACTACATGGGCTGGCCCCAGAGCTGGAGGGACGACGGGGTGGCGGCAGCTCTTGCCAGGGGCAGGAGGGCTGGCAGAAGCCATACATAGCTCCTTTGTGGAGCTCTCCTCCCTGCCGAGGTGGCGCCAGACCTGGGCTCTCCTCCAACCACCAACCTGGCTGACACCGCTCACCCCACCCTGGTGAGTCCTTGAGCCCCCCGCCCACCCAACCTGCTCGTCTGGCCTGAGCCACTTCTAGTGGCTCCTCCACACAAGTGGCCTGCTTTAGCTCATGCTATGGGCTCGCCTAAAGTCTCTCGAAGGTCCACAAACTCCAAATAAGCAGCAGCCGGCCTCGGCATGTCCTGTATCTCTTGCTAAGTGGTCCCAAGCCTGGCACAAGTGATGACTGGTCTCAACTTGCATTGTAGCTCTCACCAGGTGGCCCCAAGCCTGGTGTGAGCTGCGGCCAGCCTTGACTTGGAACGCTGCCTTCACTAAGTAGCCACAAGCCTGACACATGTGGTGGCTGGCCTCAGCTCCCGTGTGGCGCCCACCCAAGGGTCTCAAGCCCAGTACAAGCGGCTACCAGCTACAGATCACTTTGGAGTCCCAAGCCCAGCAGACGCAGTGGCTGACCCTGGCCTGCACCAGAGCTCCTCCCAAGAGGCTCCAGAACCAACATAGCCAGTGGCCAGCTTCAGACTACACTGGAGTGCCACCTAACCAGCTCCACAAATGACACACCTGGAGGGCAGGCTGGGCTGGTACCAGAGCCCTGCTAAAGCAGCTTCTGCTCCATGGGGTCAGCCCCTGCACAACAGCCCTCGAATAGCCAAAGCAATCACGAGAAAGAACAAAGTTGGAGGTGTCACGCTACCTGGCTTTGGGCGGTACTACCAGGGCTACGGTGGTCCAGGCAGCATGGTAAGGTGGCAGGGGACAGATGTGTGGACCGATGGGGCGGGGCAGAGCCCAGAGGGAAGCCCACATCTATATGGTTGGCTGAGCTCTGGCAGGAGAGGTACAGTGGGGTGAAGACAGTGTGGGAAGTGGATGGTGCTGAGAAAGCTGGACAGGCAGACCCAGGGGAGTGGGGCAGGACCGCGTTCTTACTGTGTATGTAAGAATAAACCAGAATGGATCGGGGACGTGGGTGTAGGACCTGAGACCATGGAGCTCTTAGAGGAAAACACAGGCAGAAAATTCTTTGACGTCACCCTTAGCAATATTTTTTTGGATATGTCTCCTCAGGCAAGGGAAACAAAAGAACAAATAAACATTTTTTTCCCCACTAAAAAGTTTTTGCACCGAGGGAAACCATCAACAGAACGAGGGGACAACCTACTGAAAGGAAAAAGACATTCGCCAATGATACATCCGAAGAGGAGTTAATATACGAGATACACGAGGAACTCGTACAACTCAACACTCGAAGAACAAAGAATCTGGTGAAGAAGGCCCGAACGGGCGTGGAGATGCCAATGCATGCATAACGGGAACGCGCCCTCCCTCACTGAGGGGCGGAGCCACGAGGAGACCGCCTTGCACCTGTCCACACGGCTCTCATGGACAAATCAACAAACGACAACAGCCGGCAGGATGTGGACAGTGGGGCGCCACCGCACTGTGGGTGCGATTATAAACTGGCGCAGCCACCGGGGAGTGCAGTGTGGAAGTTCCTCAGAACACTGGAAATGGGACGGCCACGTGACCCAGTGGGTCCGCTTCTGGGTGTTCATCTGGAGAGGTCCAAAACACTACGCTGAGAGGAGGGGTGCGCCCCTATGTTCACCGCAGCACTGTTACAACAGCCGGGGTGTAGGGCACCCTATGTGACCACCAGAGGCTGGCTAGCTAAGGCAGATGAGGCGCGCATGTGCAATGGACCACTGCCCAGCAACAGCAAGAAGGAAACCTTGCCCCCTGCCACAACATGGGTGAGCCTAGAGGGTGTCATGCTAAGTGAGGTAAGTCAGGCAGAGACAAAACCATATGACTTCACTTACGTGGAATCAAAAAGCCAGATCAGTGAATAAACTCACAGGTCCAGCGAACAGATTGATGGGCGCCAGATCTGGGGTGAGTGGGGAGATGGGTGGAAAGGGGGAGGGATTAAGACGTACGAGCTGGCAGCCATAAAAACAGTCGTGGGGAAGTAAAGCACGCAGGGGAATGCAGTCAGCGGTATTACTGTGACTGCGTTTGGTGTCAGATGGGTACCTGAGGCTTACTGGGGCGACCACTCTGCAAGATTACAAATGTCCACTCACTGTGTCGTACACCCGAAGTGAATATATTTCATGTCAATCTAACTGGGGGGAAATCCCGCCTACGAGAAAGCAAATGAAGGGGAAGGTGCTCGGAGCCTCCGCGGGGCTCCCAGTCCCCCCACTCCGACAGGAACAAGTCACAAACACGCATCATGGCTACGCCGGGCGGAGTGCCTTGGGCCCAGCTGTCAGAAGACCCACAGGACTGTGGCCGAGGGGGGTCTTCGGTGGGTCCCTGTACGTGCGCTCTGGCCACCCTCGAACGGCCTTGACTGCTCGGGGAAAAGCTGTCCCTCCTCTTAGAAAAATACGGAACAACTCAGTTGCCTCCAACTCAATTTTTCCAATATTTATTCAGCTTAATAATGAGTAGGGCCCTAAGAGAGGGGCACCAAGATGGGTAAGAGCTTCCTCTGCCCACGACAGACTCACTCACGGGCGTGCGCAGCACAGGAAGGGGACGGATCCGTGTGTCATGAGGCCCGTTCCCAGGGGGCTGCCACGGCGAGTCTGACGAGTTTCTCTGCCCCTTCCCTGATTCATCTTTCTTGAATGAAGACTTACTATTTTAAAATGTTTCTAATTATAAAAGTGAATACATGATCATTATAGAAAATAGGGAAACATAGAAGAGAGAAATCACCTGTATTCCCATTCCCTCAAGACAACCAATGTTAGCATTGCGGCGTTTCCCCTCCCCACTTTGTTTTGAAACAGTTGTGATCGTAATGAACATACAACTTGTGACTTGCTTTTGTTTCACTTATTATAAACGTGCTTTTTTATACGAATAAAATACTAATACCATCAAATATATTTTCATAATTAAGTTATCCCCTAGTGGTAGGTATTTAGACTTTGGCCAGTGTTCATTTTGTTCATCTCTACAGTCTCCTAATAAAGTTCCTAGTTTAAAATGCCCAACATTTAGGAAGAAAGTGGAGATCTCAAGAGACTCCAGGTCTCTGGCCTGAGGCGACAGTTCCCTGCAAGGACTCTCTCGTGAGGACTGTGCAGCAGCTCTTTCCAGGAGGAGGAGTCGGGAAGCTCGGCACACATGGCCTTGCGGCAGAGGCCTGCAGGCCCCGGGGCCCGCTCCCAGGCCCGCGGCACTTCTGCCCTGCTGCTGCAGCGAGGGCAGCTCCCAGCAGGCCGCCCGGGCTGCCTGCCTCGCCTGGCACTCATGTGGCAGGGACCCCACAGGCTCATCTGCTGGTTGGATCTGCCTGAGGCAGCTCGGGGATCGCGGCCAAACCACACACACCATGGGGAAGGAAAAGCAGAACAAGGCCAGGACGGATGCTTTTAAACGCAGGGAGACTGGCTGCCCCCTCAGAAAGATGGGGGTCCAAAGGAGGGACACCCGAGAAATACCTTTCAGTGGCTTCCTGGAACACATGGGAACCTGGTGGCTGGACTGTTCTCCACTCTTGGAATTGGAACACATCAGCTTGTTACCTTCCCAGATCAGTCCAGTGGCCACTGCCAGCTCTAGCACCTGAGGCCGACACAGCAGACTCTGCTGGTCCAGTCCTCTGCTCACTGCTACTGAACACAGACTGCACTCCGAGGGGGAGCCCAGCAGGGTGGGGGCCGCTGAAGGGGCCCCTGGCCTCCAGGCCCTGGCCTCTCGCAGCAGCCCTAATGGCGTCTGCGGTTGCCCGCCTCCTGCTACAGCAAAAGTCCTCTTTGTCTGTGTTTAACCACTGCCCTGGGAAATGCCATCAAAGTACCATTGTTTCTGGCCAAGCATGCAGCTCCTAGGCCCTGCTTCTGCCCACCCCAGACAAGTGTACATACAGAACAAAGAATTGCCAGCACAGTGCTGGTCATATGTGTTGATAAATGCCACTGAAAGTAAGGGGTAATGCAAACTGGGAACCCCCAATTACACCCCGACCACGGAGGCAGCTCTGAAGTGGGGTGGAGTCGGGGGCACAGAAACTTTGCCCTCAGTTCCCTGAGGCTGGAATTCACACCTACTGTCTACTTCCATCCTCTTACCTACTACACAAGTGTTTCTCTAGCCAAAGCCATTTTTACATAACTGGAAGGGAGGACGGAAGGTAAGCAGGCAGGCCCCTCCTGTATCTGTATCCTGGGGACTTCCAGGGTCGGAGTGTGGAGGAAGGACCGGTCAAGGGAGACCGCAGGGAGGGAGCTGTGACGGTTGCAGTGAGGGGCAACCCCTCTGGTCAAAGGCAAGTACTGTGAAAGGCCATCCTCCTAGAAAGCAACAAACATCAACCCAAGACACTAGCGGGGCAAGGCAAAGTACGGTGTGCACAGAGCTGAAGCACTACAAGGGAGTGAAAGACAAAATCATTTGTACGCATGACATAAAACACTGTCTGTACAAAGGGTTTGCTGATGTTTGTTTAAAGCAGACCTCAAAGTAGACACGAGGAAGTGACAAAATGAAAGATAAAAAGCCTATGGTAATTTCAATAGATGCATCGAACACCTTGACAAGGTACAACATCCATTTATAATGAACACTCTCAATGGGTTTAAAAGGACAGTACCTCGACACAAGGGAGGCCACACGACTAACCAGCAGCGAACAGACTCAAAGGTGAAAAACGGAAAGCATTCCCTCTGGGACCAGGAACAGGATAAAGCTGCCTGTTCCTGCTACTTCTGTCCACATAACACCGCAAGTCCTAGCCACAGCAATCAGACAAGGAAAAAATAAGTAAATAAAAGGCATCCAAACTGGGGAAAAAGAAGTAAAACAAGCGCTATTTGTGGGTAACAGGAATTTATATGTAGAAAACCCCAGAGACTCCACAAAAAACTATCAGAAATAATAAACACAGTAAGGTCGCAGGACACAAAACCAAGGGGCAGCATCTGCTGCGTCTCTGTGCGTGGACAATGCGCCACCAGAACAAGAACCGAGGAGAAACGGCCCCACGGACAATCGCAACAAGAGGAACACCTAGGAGCAAACAAAGGATGTGGGAGATCTGGAAGATCTAAACACTGAAAACTGCAAGACAATTTTGAAAAAAAACTGAAGACGACGTGAAAAATGGAAAGAAATTCCATGTTCATGGATTGGAAGAATTAACACTTAAAACATTCATGTGGCCTAAGGAACATCCAGATTCAATGCAATTCCTATCAAAATCCCTGTGGCATTTTTCACAGAAGTAGGACCAAAAAAAACAAACACAAAACCCCAGAGATTTGTAACAGTGCCACAGAGGACTAACAGCCGAAGAAAGCCTCAGAAAAAAGGACAAAGCTGGACGCATCACACGCCCCAGTTTCAAACTATACTACAAAGCTATAGTAATCAAAACAGTTTGAATAATACAGAAAAATATAAAGACTTTCAAATTCTACTAGCATGAAATAACTGCCATTAATATTAGCTGAGTATCATTCCAGGCATCTTTCCATGCACATGTACCAGCTGAAGAATAGATTACTTTAAAAAATACCATTTTCTTGCCACGAGAAATTCAGAAAACAAAGAAGAACAATAGAAAGCGAAACCACCAAGGCGGTGATGAACCAGGCAGATCTCCTTGGGCAGCACGCCACTCCCACCTTTCTAACCAGGCCTTTGTTTTCTCCTGGCACCTCACAGAACCCGGGGTTCACCTCAGCAGCCCCTGCAGACTCGCCAGAACTTTGTCTGGAACCCAGCGGTCGGCATCTTCCAGCACTTCCTGTTTCTTCCCCTGAACCCATCGTATTCACTGCACTGTTTTTTTTTTCTCCTCCTTTTTTTGGTGGGGCAAGATGAGTGGAAAGGAGAAGATGTTTCCTCCTCTCATTTCAAATGCTACAACTCATATGTGCTTTCATACACAGACAGATATTTTCCACCCTCAGGCCATCCAATCTTCCTGCTGCTGCTGAGCGATGTCATAAACATTTGTGTTCCTCTGACACCCAGGCAGCTGAAACCCCTTCCTAAATGTGGCGAGGGCCCTGCAGTTGAGGCCTCACTTGGTGGTGGTACACAGAGCCTTTATTAGTTCCCATCTCCAGTTTCACAGCAAAGAAGCTGGTGTGTGTGCCACTGTGCCTCACAATTAGCCAAAAGCAGCCACTTTCCCAAGCCTCCCTTTGTAATCTGCCACTACTGTCGGTGTCTATAAATATTAAATGCAAAAGGCACCATTAAAATAACATTAAGTTTCTGGCTGATGCATTGACAGCTGCGGACATCTGAAGCTGAGATCAGGCGGCCGCCTCGGTGTTCTTTATCTTTTGGGGTCCATGTCTGTCTGAGCCTTCAGAATCCCAGGAATCGTGCACTTACCTGAGGCTGTTAGGCGGAGGGAGGTGGAGATGAGGCATGGGCCGCCTTGGACGATGATGCTGTTTTTCACACACACTGAGTGCGTGTGTAAACTTCTCTCTAAGCTCGTGGGAGGCAGCCTGTCTGACCTCGCCCTGCTGGCTGAAAGACTGGCTTCCAGGCAACCACACGACAGAGAAAAACGAGCCCCTGGTACTGGGCTGGGAGGTTGCGGAGGAGGACAGGGGGAGCACCAGAGTGGGGGAGGCAGTCGGAAGCCCCCAGAAACTTCAGGGCCCAGCCTTTTACATAAACAATTGTCTGGGGAACATTCCAGACAAAGCCGAACAATATAACTATTCCCGGAGGTTAGCAAAGACGAGAAGCAAGTCACCTGCCCAGCTCACACTGGCTTTACTTCATTTGCTAAATAAACCATTTCTAACTTTCAGTATAAAAACAGCACTTACAAGCACTCAATACTTCAATTATGAAATTCACTTAGTGATGGCATATGCGTTTCACACACCTCTGCTGGGACAGCAGGGCAGCCAGAAGCTTTAGGACAGACGTGTGCACATACCTGTTTGGCTGCTGCTGAAGAAATCGCCTTCCTGTCCAGCAGGTCGAGAAGCTCAGCCAGTGCAGACGGAGTGACGGGACTGCAGCCGCCCCAGGAGAGAAGGAACATGTCACATTGTCAGCGTATCCATTTGCAGGGATTCAGGATTGGAACACTTGATTTTATACGTTTAAATAATTAAACCCCCACCCAGCCCTGAAAACAACAGGCCAAATTGGGTTCTACTTTATTTATTTTGTCTTTTAGGATATAACACATTTTCATGAGTGGTGTGTTTCTTTGTTTTACCACCCAACAACAACAGCTGTTTGGCAGAAGTTGTAGCAACTGCTCAGTTTAATTAGTCAAAGGAAGGAGGTGGCTGCAAAATTCATGAACCATGACAAAGAACGAGAAAAACCCCAGTAATTACATAGTTTTCAAGGAAAGATCAGCCTAAAAACTGCTTCAAACAAAACAGCTAACAAGGTCGCTTTTTTGAGTGTTTCTGTGCAAACATAAACTCTTTTTAATTGTGAGAGCTTTTTGGGAAGGGAGCCCGCGGCTGCCCGCCCGTCTCTGGCCGTCCTCAGGGGCACCTCCCCTGACCCTTCTCTCCGGCAGGCTCACAGCAGCTGGCTGGACACGGAGGGGCCCGGAGTCCGTTATCCGTGCTCCCAGGACATGCCTCATTTACCAAACTTCTATGGTATAAAAGGCCAAGGAGCAAACCAACACATAAAGTGTCACAATCCGCATTCAGGGGTGGGAGTTGGGGGGGAGGGTAGTGAGCACCTAGGTTAGTGAAATGACAAGACTGAATGACAGATTATTTCTTCTAAAGTACATGGTGTCGCCACTTCCACACACACACAGAGCAACTGGGCTGATGAAACGCTGTCTTATCAGAGGTCATTAGGGGCTGGTTTTAAATAGATAGGAACAACTCATGAATAGCACATTAGCATGTCTGTGTAAATGAAAGCTGCTGAAATGCATAACGCCACTTGAAAACACCTTCTGTTTAAGCTTCGGTTGCCATCACTCACTATTAATTTCTTGGTAAGCTCTTAGATAAGAAAAAGGAAACTACCGCTTAGCTTCTGCCAATTCCGATGAATTTCAGACTAATCGAGTGCAAGTTCACCAGGTACGCCTCACTGTGGTCTGACAACTACAGTGAAGCCTCATTAGGGTTGTTCATTCAGAACAGCTAACACACTGAGGCAGGCACCATTTAAAGTGTCTGTTTATCCCAAAGCACACGTGGATAAAGGTGATCCCAAGCGGAAATCAGGCTTGGAGAGTGCTGGTGTTAGTTGGTATCTGGAATGTCTGTGAAGCACTCTGATAAAACCTCAACGGCAAGAGGGGGAGAGGGCTGGGAAGTAAACTGAGACCCTTTTCCCAGCCTCCAGCCCTTACTGACAAGTAATACAGAATTAGTTTGTTTGTTTTTTTCAATGCAGGTTTCTGGGATTTTCTGCAACTCTAGAAAATACAATGGTCAATTCGAGTGTGTACTGTGGAGAACCCTAACCGGCAGTGACGTGGAACGGGGTTTCTAGAGCATGCAAAAAAGGCACCTGCTCCCACACGAGTCAGCGATAAAGGGCCGCTGGGACAGAGTTAGAGGGTAGCATGATTAAAAATACTCTGCCTTTCATCTAATGACCTCAACTCATTAGTTAGGTTATACATTCACACTATACAATACCTCCACTGGCCTAATTGCACTTGGGATTTTTCAATCACCTTTTTATACCCACGATGCTAGACACACAGTAGGTCAGTAATATTTGTATCACGGAATTCTAGCCCCCAACAGGGATGTCTGGTATTCTGCACGGACCGACTCCAGACACACCAGGGCTCACCTGGAGTGGGGCGGCGGCAAAGACCAGCTCCTGCCTCACTCACCTGGGAGACCCCTCATCAGATAAACACACGTGTCAGACAAGGAACGCAATGGCCGCAGAAGCACCAGCTGCTGACTTGCTGCTGCCAGAGAACACTGGTTTCTGGACAGGGAACGCACCTCCACTGAAGAACGAACGGTCTGACCCTGGAGGCCTAAGCCTCGTGCGCTTGTCCCCAACCCCGAGGCCAGCGGGTCTACAGAGCCCGGGAATGGGACACTCCCATCTCCCCTCAGCCAGTCCTCCGGAGCTCTTACAGGGCCACAACTCCGTCCCCAGCCTGGACTGCAGAGACAGACACCGCTGCAGCAAGTCAGCCTGGCTAAGCTGTACTTGAGGAATGTGCTGCCCTTCTCAATCCCCAATGTCATTTCAGGCCCAAAGTCCCCCTTCTCTGCTTCTGCTGAATGGGATGCAAGGAGCTCCTGGAGGAAGACACTGGGACTTGGACATCCAGGGGCTGCTGCTAGTCAATAACCCCTTTACCTCACTTACTTCTCCCCCAACCCGGCTCCCCCACTGAGACAGCTGTTCTGGCAGCTTCCTTTCAGCAACCCGTCCCCCTCGGCACACACTCGCACCTCCCACCTCACTAGAACGTCAGCTGGTGCAGAATCCCGAACTCTCAACGGCGCTGCCTCCTCTTCCATCAGACAAACCCCTCCAGCTGTGCTCTCAGGCCCGCCACGCCCACTCCTGAGAATCCCACTGGACCTACATGCCTGCTTCCCCTCTCCTGTGGCTTCAATTCCACACCTTCACAATTGCTGAGACCTTCCCTATCTTGAAAATGTCTTCAGGTGACCTTGCAGTCCTGTGCCTCTGCCTGGTACCTTATTTCTTACCAATAAAGACCTGGCATCAGTGGCTACCACGGACCCTCGTCAGCATGTGGTGGTTGGACTCTAACCCTGTCCCTACAGCTGTGCTGTTAAAAATCCCCATCCCTTGCTTCGTTGCCAAACATATACCTTTCCCCCATCCTGCTGCACCCTGTGGGACACCTTTAGACCCCCTCATGAAAACCCTTGCCCTGGGCCTCCAGATGCTCCTCCTCCTTTTTGACTGACCCTCCTCTGCTTCCTGCGTGCTGAGGACCAGTGGCCTAGGGCAGCTTCCTGTGCTTCCCGGGCTTCACCTCAGGCTGGCGAGGGAGGGAGCGCATCTCTTCTCACGACTGTCACTGCTCGTCTAGCTTCCTCTGCCCACGAAATCCAAGCACCTCTCCAGGGCTCCCATCTCCCCAAACACGTTCTGAAACAGCCCACGCCTCTTAGTTACAGTCCAGAGAGCCTCAGGCCCCGCCACAGCCATCGTATCTCGCTGCATCCTCCCTGACACTCTCACCGGCCCCAGCGACTCCACGTTGCACTTACACCTGACTATGTATTGGCGTTCCCAGAAGTGCCTCTACTCATCCTTCGCTCAGGGCTTAGCTTTGCTGTCACCTTCCCTTCCCAGAGCCCCTAAATCACTGCTTTGTAATCACCAGCTTCTAGGCTGTCAGCTCTGAAAGCTGAGACGGTGTCTGTCAAGTTGACTGGTCTGATTTAACATGCGCTGAATAATGAACAAAGGAGAATGCTCTGATCTGTATGTCCCGTATACCTGTCAGCTGCAGATCCACACCAACAAACTGCTCGCTGGTAATCCCCATGAGGGGGCTCTCTTATAGGCAGCTCCGACCCAGCACTCCAGAAAGGAAGTGGTATCCCCCCTCCTTGTCCCTCTCAACTTGCTCCCCCTCTTCCTGTCCCTCCCACTGCCCCTCATTTCACTCCACTGCCCGGGCAGGAAGCATGAACATGGTGCTGGTCCGAGACGACTGCTCCCCCCCAGCCCCTCCCATGTTCAGCCCTGCCATCGATCACCCTTTACTGACCATCTTCTGCAATAAGGCCTCTATTTTTCCTATTACAGGCCTGAGACCTCCTAGACCACATGTAGGGAAAATCATGTGGTGTTTGGCTTTCTCTGACGGGCTTGTTTCACCCGGCACAACACTCTCCAGGTCCATCCGTGCCGTCTCAGAAAGGGAGATTTCCTTCTTTGCATGGCTGAGTAGTGTTCCACTGGTGACCGTGCCGCACTGCTTCCCTCACTCACCTACGGACCGGACTGGCTGTGACAAACGATGCTGCCACGAACACAGGGGTGTGCGGGTCTTTCCAACCAGTGTTTGAGGTTTATGCAATAAATTCTCAGACGTGGATTCACTGGGCGATAAGGCAGTTCTATTTTCAGCTTTTTCAGTAAATTCCATACTGCTTTCTGCAGTGGCTGCACCAGTCTGCACTCCCACCAACGGTGCACGAGGGTTTCCTTTTCTCCACATCCTCTCCAGCACTTGTTGTTTGTTCATTTATTGATGACAGCCATTCTGGCAGGTGTGAGGTGGTGTCTTGTTGTGATTTTAATTGGCATCACAGAAAACATCTTAAACACAGTCTCCCGGTAGAGGCTTACATTGTTTAAATAGGCCTTTGCTTTAAAGTCTGTTTTGCCACACACAAAGTATTGCTACTCCAGCTTCTTTTTCATTTCCATTTGCATGAAATATCTTTCTCCATCCCTTTACTTTCAGTCTGTGTGTATCTTTCATGCTGAGGTGGGACTCTCGTAGACAGCATGTGGGTCTCGTTTTCCTACCCATTCAGCTACCCTCGTTCATGTCTTTTGACTGCAGCATTTAAGCCATTTACATTTAAAATGGTTATTTATAGGTATATATTTATTACCATTTAATCTTTTAACTACGTTCTTCTTTTTTCTCCTTTCTTCTTAAAGAAGATCCTTTAACGTTTCTTGTAATAATGGTTTGGTGGTAATGAGCTCCTTTAGCTTTTTCTTGTCTGGGAAGCTCTTCTTTTCTCCTTCAGTTTTAAATGATACCCTTACTAGGTAAAGTCGTCTTGGTTGTAGGTCCTTGCTTTTCATCCCTTTGACTATTTCATGCCAATCCCTTCCTGCCTGGAATGTTTCAGTTGAGAAATCAACTGACAGTCTCATGGGAACTCCCTTGTAGGCAACTATCTTCTCCTGTGCTTTTACAATTCTCTTTGTTTAACCTGTGGCAGTTTACAATGCGTCTTGGTGTGGGCCTCTTTGGGTTCATCTTGTTTGGGACTCTCTGCACTTCCTGGACTTGTGTGTCTTTTTCCTTCACCGGGTTAGGGAAATTTTCAGTCATTATTCCTTCATACAGGTTCTCGACCCACTGCTCTCTCTCCTCCCCTTCCGGTATCCCCTATGACGCAGAGGTTCTTACACTTCATGTTGTTCCAAGGTCCCTTAAACTCTCCTCATTTCTTAAAGTTCTTTTTTCTTTTTGCAGCCTGGATTGGGTGTTTTCTGCTGCCTTGTCTTTCAAATCGCTGAGCCAGTCCTTTGCGTCATCCGACCTACTATTTATTCCTTCTAGTGTCTTCTTCATTTCAGATGCTGTAGTCTTCATTTCTGACTAGTTCTTTTTTATGGTTTCCATGTCCTTTTTCATGCTGTTATAGTTCCAGGTTCCCTGATCATCCTTATAACCATTTTTGGAACTCTATATCTGATACATTGGTTGGCTTCATTTCATTCTAGAGATTTCTCCTGTTCTTTCATTTGGGGCATGATTGTCTCTGGTTGTGGCTGCCTCTTTGTGTTTGTTTTTATGTATCAGGTAGATCTGCTGTGACTCCCAGTCTTGGTAGGGTGGCCTTATTAGCAAATGTCCTATGGGACCCAGTCTCCTTGATCACCTGAACAGGGTGCTCCAAGTCCCTTGTGTGGTTATGGGCACCCTCCTGTTGCAATTGAGTCTTGACTGCTATTGGCCAGTTCATGTTCAGAGTCAACCCTCAGGTTGGCTGACTGTGGGGATCAACCCCAACCACAGTGTACAAACTGATGTGTGCAGGTGCTGACCACACAAAGCAGAGTCTGCCTCAGCAAGGTCTGGTACCTGCCAAGATCTCCCGTTCAATATGCCGCTTGTGAAGCTTACTGGTTCCTGCTCTGATGTTTTCTGAAGCTGACCACTGGGTGTGCTGGCTCTGGGGCCTCTTGGGAGGGACTCTGGTGCAGCCCAATGTCAGACACTGCCCATAACTGGTCCTGGGCCACCTGTTTAGAGCCATAAAGCAATCTACAGTTTGTGGCTGCCTCTGCTGGGCCTGCATGTGTAGAGGAAGGACCAAGCTGCATATCAAGGCTGCCTTTTACGAGCAGCAGGCCCCGGGGCAGGTCAGCAAAAATCCCAGGGCACCCTGCCATCTGCCTCTGCCCGCCTGTTAGGCTCAGCCACTTAAAGAGCCTCTGATGATACTGGAGTTGCATGAGACAGGCTCTCAGTGAGTCACCAGGTAGGGGTGAGTGGTGTTCACCAGATCGATGCAGGTTCAAACTTGGTGCCATTGCTGGGTCTGAGGCCACTCAGCAAATGTTCCTGGGTGTGCCAAGTCTAGCTGGGACCTGCTGGGTGTTTACACACCTTTGTGGCAGGTGGGGTATCAGAGAGTCATCAGGGAAATGCCAGCAGAGTTTATCAGGCCCAAACAGACCAAGATCCGGCCAGGTGAAGGAGGTCCCTGCACCAGTTGGGCATGCGAAGGAAAAATGGCCCCCATCCTAGAGCCACACAACTCAGTCTCTCCCAGATTCTGCCAGGACCTGGGGAGATGGAGCCAGTGGACCTCCCATGACGGGGAGATGTTGGTCAGCCTTGGGGGAAGGCATGGGGAGTGGCCCCCACCCCAGAGACACACAATTTAGTCTTTTCTTGATTCTGCCCAGACCTCAGCAGGACAGAGCCACCAGGGGTCAGGAGGCGGGGCCACTGGAAGCCCAGAGAGCAGGGCTAGTGGATCTCCCATGAGAAGGCACCAGTGAGGTTCATGGGAAAGTGGGGGCATGGCCTCTGCCCCAAAACCACACCACTCAGTCACTGACACCCTCTGAACCTGCCTAGACCTCTATATCCCAGCTCAGGCGGCTGGCTCCTCAGCAGGGTATGAACTCTGCAGGGTGGGGTGACAGGGAGTCCAGAGGGTGGGGCTATGCATTCCTCCAGGCTGATGGTCTTGCAAGGGAGTGCTCCACCCAAGAATGATGGCATTTGTGGTGTGGGCAAGGGGCTCAGCACAGGAATCTTAGTGGCTATCTGTTTGGCTCTCTTTCCAGAGCCACAAACCCCAGTCTCCCCTCACACAACTAGTCTATTCAGCCCTCTCTCTGCTGGAGCCCAGGAGATTTGAATGAAATTTTGTGCATTTGCCCTTTAAGAGGGCACCTATGTCTCCAGCAGACTCCTGTCTCTCCCTGGTGGGCATAATCCCTGCCAATTTGCACAGTCAGATGTTAAGTGGGTGCCTCTTCCTAGCTCTGGGGCTCTGGCCTCTGGAACCTGGCTTGGGGTTGAATCAGGCTCCACTCTTCTCAGGGGAAACCTTTGCAGCTGAGATATCCCTCCAGAATCTCAGCCACTGCCCGTGGGAGTGGGGCCAGCCCGTTTCCCATCTCCACCCTTCCCACCATCTCGCTGTGGCTTTTCTGTGAATCCTTGGTTATAAGACTACTCTTCATCTAGTTTTGGTTAGTTATTCAGGTTGACTGCTCTCTATTTTAGTTGTAATTCCAGTCTGGTCCTATGAGGAGGTGAACATAGCTTCCACTTGCTCCACTGCTATTGGGGGTCTCCCACTGTCTGTTTTCTCATAGGTCTGTAGGCCCCTCACACTTGTACACTCCTATCTTGTTCACATGCAGGCCCCAGCACAGTACAAAGGACAGTGAGGACAGTCAGAGATTTGAACAAATAAATGCATTTTCAGATGTGATGGAGGACAGCTTTTAGAATTTAGAATTCACAGGGGATGCTTGCATCCTGTCAGGAGATCCTGGGGAGAACAAGGAGAGTAACACACTGGCCCTGTCCCAGTTCAGCTGCGTCTGGACACGGAGTTCACCACAAAGGAAGAAGAAGTCCCCTGACCCCACTCACCTCTCACTGACGGCAAGGTTGTGCTGCTTTAAAAATCCCAGAAAAGTGTTGAGGACCCAACTAGTCACTTTTTTGGGCTCTGCCCTAGTTTCTTTGATCACATTCTGGAAGAACTCCAGCAGGCCAACTTCATTCTGTGAAGGAATAAAAATTGTATAAAACCTCCAAAAAAGTGAAAGATCAGCATTCTGAAAGCAAATCAAACTGCCTACACCTCTGCCTCCTCTGAGACATTAACTTGTTATTTCCTAAACACGAAGATGTCATCAGAAAATTCTGATCGCTTCCAGTAAACAGCAAGTATTCTTCTACTGTCGCCGTACATTTCTATAGCATTTTCTAAAAGGGATGAACACATTTCAGAGCCGTGACTCTGTGGACCAGAGGATGGTGACACCCACCATCCCCTAAACCTGCTTCCCTGTCAGTGTTAGCCGTGTGTACCCTGTACCCTTCATCCTTGGGCCCACAATGTTCAGCCTGAGTTCATTGTCCTGTCTCTTTTCCATCCTGTCCTCTGCTGGAAGTCTGAGTGATTGCTAGAATAACAAGGTAAGAAAAGTAATCAAGAAGAAACAAACAGAATATTCTAACTCTGAAAAACTGAAAGTGGTTTGTAACTGTATTCATCTCCGCATCATGCCAGGAGGTGACAGAAATGGTTTTCAGAATGAGGAAGAACGTGGGCACATGTGACCCACGTAGCACACATAACTGGTGGAGGGAGCAGCAGCTTCTAGCCTCTGAATCAAGCTAGGCCCGCTGACCCTGCCTGTCATCTCGCTCCGTGCATGCCATCGGCTGGGTTGGGTCTGCTCGGAGAAGACTCCACTTTCCTGCTCTGCATCCAAAGATTCTGCACTGTCAGCTCCACGTGTCAGGCGCCACGCTGCCCTGCTCACTCTGCAACTAGGGCTAAGTCAGCGCCGGGCCACGGCGGCTGCTTGGTCGGTATCAGCACAGGAATCAATGTCTCCCATTGCCATGTGTATTTTTCCAAAATCACATGCAAACACTCATTCTTTATCTTGTTTACCTTTAAATATTAGACATGCCGCCATTATGCATAAGAATAACCCCAAGGTACTCATCAAGTTATACACTATGGCCAACTGCCAGCTTAGATAGATCTGGCAGAATCAAGAAATCTCGCTAAGTTCACCCCTTGTTTTCAGTTAAAAAAAAAGAAAAAAGAAAACCATGTCCTACTTGCACAGGGAAGGCTGAAGTTTCCAAATGCAGAGGGGACATATTCTAAGCAGATTTCCCCAGCCTGCTGAAATTCAGATCAAACCACTATTCCTTGAAATATGAGGTCTGTCTGGAAAAAGCCTAGCCACTGTGAATATAATGAGAATGGTTTGTGCAACAAAGACGTAACCTGGCAGCCAAGGAGAGTGGACTGGAACGCACATGCGTGAACAATGATGACTTCACTGTACTTGTCAGTGGGCACAGTAGATGCTGTGGAGTGAGCATGTGTAATGTGTGGCCCTCACATTCAAAATGACTGAGCCAGCAGAACAACGAATCTGCATCAAATTTTGCATAAAACTTGAACATTCCTCCCTGGAAACTACTCAGATGATTCAGAAGCCTGCAGCTGTGGGTAACTGGTGATTGGCAGCTTCATCACGACATCGCACCTGCTCATGTATCACAACCCACACAGAGTTTTTTTGCAAAACATCAAATCACCTGGGTAATTCAGCCCCTCCATAGCCCAGATTTGGTGCCCTGTGACTTCTGGCTTTTCCCAAAACTGAAATCATATTCGGAAGGGAAGAGATTTTAGACTGTTGATGAGATTCAGGAAAATATGACAGGGCAGCTGATGGTGAATGGGAGAAATGTGTGAGGTCCCAAGGTGCCTACTTTGAAGGGGACTGAGGTGGCACTGTCCTATGTACAGTGTTTCTTGTGTCTTGTATCTCTATTTTTAGTATTACATGGCTGGATACGTTCTGGACAGACCTCATATTCCTTTTTAACTTTATACTACAGGTAAGCTTTTCATCTTTGCCCCTTTTAGAGAACTTTCACTTAAATGAAAGAACCTTCTGGAAAAAATAAGATACTAGGAAGAAGCAAGACATAGTAACAAAAATGCTCAGAAAATTTAGCCACTGTAAATGCTGTAACATGCACACACACAGCTGCTTAGTAGAAATCCCACAATAAAAAAATCTACATGCCCTTTGTAACAGATACATTCTCTGATGACAAGCCAGCTGAATAATCCCATAATCATCTCTTGAATCTCTTTTCAAACCAACGCTATTATTCTGCTCATGCTAAACCAGGGCAGAGGCCGCCTCACCAACCAACACTTGACTACAGATAGAGGCAAAGGCAGACAGCCTGAAAAGGAAGTTCTGCTTAACTTATGGAAAAGTATCCAAACCTCCCTAATGCTGCCCAAACCGCTGGGGAAGTAGAATACTGCCATCCAGCCCGAATCAGGCGGGAAGAAACCCTTTGTTCTATCCCAGACAGGCTGGCCGCTGCTGGAAAGACCTGTCAGGAGAACTCTCTGCCAGAGAAAGGTTTTCTAAATTCGCCTAGAAATACTGCACTTGAACTCGCAGGCTTGGCTGAGTTGCTGGGACGTGATGAATATCTATTCTTCTCCCCCGGGTGGTTTTTTTATTGGACAGATAACTTGGCAAGTCAGGTTTCTGTTTGTCTTTCTGTGTCAGTGCCGTGATGAAGCCTCTTTGCGCTGGTACTGTACTCCACTGGAAGGATCCGTGGGTTCCGCACACAGCCCGCGGTGGACATGAACACCTGCGATCGTGACCGGTGAGCTACAGACGGGGCTGAAGAGGGCTGAGCTGCCGCTGCCCGGATAACGACAGATCGATAAACAGTCACATGCGGGTGCCTACTCTGGTTCTTTAGATCTGAAGCCAGCTTTTCAGGAAAAAATACAAAACGTTCTAGGTAAGGTCTTCTTGGTTTTTCTGAGTTAGGCAAATGCTAATGAACTTGGCACAGATCTCAGAGGTCCCTTGTGAATGTGGCAGTGTGGCTCTGGTTTTCTCAGAAAGACAGTGGGCCAGTAATCCCCTTACATGAAAACTGTATTACCAGTAAGGCAGAAAGGCCCCTGCATTGGCAGACCCTTAACGTCCTTCTCAAAGGCAACAAGCAAACCTCCGACTTAGCACTAATGTCCCCCCACACCAGGCAGAGCTGACGCTTCAGCAGCATGGGGCATCAAGTCTCTGGCCAGCTGTCCCTACAGAGACAGCTACAGCAGCAGGGACAACTGGCCCTGTCTTCTGGAGAATACCCAGCAGTCTTTACAGCTCTATGCCAGGAAGCATCCTTCTCACATTTTATCCAATCTCCCAAAGCATTCCATTACACCCAGAGCCAAGGCCAGGTCAGCCTCTCAGACGCTCCCAGAACCTCCACGGCTAATGGATCCGTCAGCTGGTCAGTGCTGGTGTGAGGCCAGGCAGAGGGAATCCACCACCTCGCCTCACTGCCTGCTCTGGGAAGGAACCCCGACTCACTGTGGCGCTGGGCCCTGGAAGCAATGTGCCCCAAAGCTGTCTTTTGCGTTCTGCCTTCAGAGGTGATAAAATGTGGGAAGGCCATCCAGTTGGAGTGAGATGAAAGCTGATTTTTCAGCTGCCACACCCAGGGAACCCGATGACAGGGCAGAAATGAGCCGGTCTATACTTAGAGGTTGAATGAAACCGGACAGAGACAGCTGCCCAGTGGCAGGTTCGGAGGAGAAAAAGCCCAAAGGACAAGCTGAGGAGCAGCTGGTTGTGTGGCAGGGTGATCTGGCAGCGCGGCGACCCTAGATTAGCAATCCAGGCAAGACTACTTGGGAGACACGGAGATCAGCAGCCAGCCCTGTGGGGAGCTACACAGAGCTGCTGCTGCAAATGGTATTAATGATAATAACAGACTTTAACAGCAATAATAGGTATCATGCACTGTTCTAAGTGCTTTCTCTACATTAACTCATTTAATTCCCAAAATGACCCATGGAGGCAGGTAGCAGAATTCTTTTAAAAATGATGACACTGAGGCACTAACTCACAAGAGGTCACAGCACAAAAGGGCTGGGCTCTCCACCTCAGTGGGCTTCGCTCTTAGCCTCCCTGCCTTCCTGGGGACCGGCCGAGTGCTGGTGCCCGGTGTGCTGTGAGGCGACTCGCTCGTCAAAAGAATGCACTTTCCCACCACTTCCATCATTTCACTTGATACCTGCCAGCTGTTCAAAGGTTCTTAACATTAAAAACATTGCAAAGGGCTTTAGCAATTAGCTTAGAAATGAGGAGAAAATGGCAAGTTCATTTTCTGCCTTTGCCGGCGCACACCAGACCACATGGCACTCTGCTGCGGCAAGACACGCACCGGCTCCTGGATCGTGAAGGCAGACAGCGGCACTGGCCCTGGGCCGGAGCTCCCCCAGCCTGTCCCCTGCATCCCCGCCACAGTGCCTCCTGAGGGAAGGTACAGCGAGCACGTCCAAACCGAGACAATGCCCCATTCTGAAACACCTTCCGACACGACCAAATGAGCTCCATGATCGCTCACACAGTCTTGATAGGAGGAAGTGTACTGTATTTCACTGCCCTCTGACTCCTCTAACACGAGTAACTCGGGGTGGGCTTACACCTAACTGGGCAGGGCCGGCCTGTGGTGGGAGCCACTGCCTGTCCAGGACACCCCGCACCTGTGGACTGAACGACAGTGGCTCCAACTGGGCAAGGCTCTCCTGGATTAGGAGGCATCATTTTGCGGAGGTACCAGCACAAATTGCCTCCCTCTGGCCCCTCGGAGTGGTGGGGCGCTGGGGTGCACAGCCACCGAGCATTTCTGGAGACGCTGTTAGAAGGCCCAGTATGTGCACGTCAATGGGGGCTCTGCTGTTCCCTGTGAACTTGGCCTTTCTTACAGTGGGAGAAAAACAGAACGCAGACCCACCAACTCTGCGATAAACGGCCCCGGAAATAACAGCACGTGTTAGTGCTGGGGTGGAAATGGAAGCGACGGAAGGGGTCGGAGAGGGTGGTGTTCCGGAGCGGACGGCAGAAGCCGTGGCTGGAGTAAGGGCTGGGATGCACAGTGGGTGCTGACTTGGGTCTGTGCCTTGAACGAATCCACCCTG